ACTTTCTGGTCAATTACAGTGGTATTATACTTTTCTGGCCAATTACAGTGTTATTATACTTTTCTGGCCAATTACAGTGTTATTATACTTTTCTGGCCAATTACAGTGTTATTATACTTTTCTGGCCAATTACAGTGTTATTATACTTTTCTGGCCAATTACAGTGTTATTATACTTTTCTGGCCAATTACAGTGTTATTATACTTTTCTGGTCAATTATAATTTCAATTTTCTGGCCATTAATCACGCCATTAGGGGTGGTTAATTTGTTATTGATTATTTTTGTTCTATATGGGAAGCTGATTAAAGATTTTTTATATATAGTCTCTGCTAGGTGAACAGACCCATTAGGTGAAAGAAAATGTGCTCGACCTTGTCCTGCCTGGGATTCGAACCTGGGATTCCCGATTGTGAGTCGAGAATGAGCCCAACCGTACAATAAGGCTTTTATATAACTTATTTCAGCTGTTGTTTTTAAAAACTCCAGCAAGGAAGATGCGAGTGTTTTTTTTCTTGTTTTTACAAAACTGTTTTTTAGTTTTGTCCACTGGCTGTTTTTTTTTTTCAAAAAGCCATAAAAAAAAGCCTAACTCAGTATCAATTTATTTTATATAAACATTTGGAAATATAATAATTTAGCTACATTTGTATACTCTTATTGAATAAGAAAATCTAATTAAATACATTAATATATCTATATATATATATATATATATATAATATATATATAATATATCTATATATATATATATATAATATATAATTATTTATATAGACTTGACACATTTATAATGATATATTAATTTATATAAATCACTTGAAACACGGCTGAAATCACCAATATAATTACATGTTTAATTTCCAGATAATTACTATCATATACTTCTTATTTAGTTCAACTTGTGTCTGTACTTTGTATAGTTTCAATGTTTCATTAGATTTATCAGTTCTCTGTGTCAGAGTGTGTGTACCTGTTGACAACACTGCTGGTCGGTTGTGACACATTTGTACAGAAACATTGGCAACAGTGATTGGTCTCATTAACTCTGTGTAGCATACGGCTTTCTTCCACACACACACACGCACACGCACACACACAGGCTCAGGAATCTGTACACCAGTTGATTGACAGTTGAGAGGCGGGACCAAAGAGCCAGAGTTCAACCCCCGCAAGTACAAATAGGTGAGTACACACACACACACACACACACACACACACACACACACACACACACACAACCACACATATATATATATATATATTATATATATATATATATATATATATTATATATATATATATATATGGATGTTAAATAATATTTAGATTTCTTGTTTACATGAAACTGACACACAAAATGGTGTCAGTTTGACACCATTTTGCCAAACAAACTCAAATTTTGTTTGACTCCCCCCCCCCCCCCAACAACACAATCACCCCCCTCCCCCCCCCCCTTCACCAACCACGTCAATCACCTGTTTCAGTTTACAACTGTTTCCTCGTGTGGTTTCAACACCCTGATCGTAGCTACTCTGCATTTGACTTTTCGTTCCTTGGCCCTTATCCTTTTGGTCCCTCGCCCTTATCCTTTTAAAACTTTGGCCTTAAGCCTCTAGTGTCCTTTGACCGATCCGCCAAGATCAGGGAAGGGTAGATCGGTCAAATTGATCTACCCAAACCAATTGGGCTTTATCCTCCAAGTCTTTATCCAAGATTTTATCCTCTTCCAAGGAAAATTGGACTTTATCCGGAGAGTTCGGCCGGCTTAGCTTTAAACTCGGTAGGCACTAGTTAAGATTCTCATAGTGTTGGAACGTGAGGAGATTGACTAGGCAGATCTACACAAAGATACTTCGTCGAGGGGCAGTTAAAGGTTTTAGGGCGAACTAGCATTGTCTTCAGAATTCTCTTGATGTGTGTGTTTACAAATGACATCAAACACACAGGTGGAAACTGAGTACCCAGATGAGCCACAGAGACGTTAGAAAGAATTTTTTCAGTGTCAGAGTAGTTAATAAATGGAATGCATTAGGCAGTGATGTGGTGGAGGCTGACTCCATACACAGTTTCAAATGTAGATATGATAGAGCCCAATAGGCTCAGGAATCTGTACACCAGTTGATTGACAGTTGAGAGGCAGGACCAAAGAGCCAAAGCTCAACCCCCGCAAGCACAATTAGGTGAGTACACAGACACACACAGACACACACACACACACACACACACACACACACACACACACACCAAAATCAGTGTAGAGGGGTGATGTGTTGCAAAAAAATGATTGACAACTACACCATAGATGAACGAACTTCTTGCATCATCAGAAACTCGCATAACCCAGACCTCAGCCTCTCGGAGGCTGAGACATCAGACACGAGATGAGATCTTGAACCAAAACCTATTAACCCTCTCATGTAACTAGCGACTAGACGATGCCCCTCCTAGTATGACCTGTAACAGTCTGGCCTGGTTGTTCGGTAGGTGGTGCACCGGTGAAGCAAAAGAGTGGTCTTACCACAGTAAGGAACAGTAAAGGCCAGGTACCAGAGGCCGTCAAGATGGGCATCGCTAGTACTTCTATCAGAGAAACAAGTAAGTCTGAATTCACGTTTTCCGAGGAGAGGAGAGTCTTTCTTGGGCTGAAGTCTTGCTTAGGCAGAAGTCTTGCTTGGGCAGACGTCTTGCTTGGGCAGAAGTCTTGCTTGGGGCAGAAGTCTTGCTTGGGGCAGAAGTCCTGCTTGGGGCAGGAATCCTGCTTGGGGCAGATGTCTTGCTTGGGGCAGAAGTCCTGCTTGGGGCAGGAATCCTGCTTGGGGCAGAAGTCCTGCTTTTGCAGAAGTCCTGCTTGGGGCAGAAGTCCTGCTTGAGCAGAAGTCCTGCTTGGGGCAGAAGTCTTGCTTGGGGCAGGAGTCCTACTTAAGAAAGAGTCCTGCTTGTGGAGTACGACTTGAGAAGACAATGCGCGCCTATCCTAAGATCCTAACCGCTGCAGCTCTGATCCTGCGCCTTTGGTGTCGCTAGATCATCGGCATTAATCATCTTAGAATAGTTTATGACTGTCATCAGCTCAGCACTAACGTAGCATTCAGGGAAGCTTGTGTATGTGGTCCTGAGTTAATTAGGAAATTGTTGACTTGTTCCTTATGTATGTGTGTGAGTGTGTGTGTGTTTTTAACTTATTGACAAGTCTTATACTTCAAATCCAGCAAGACTTGAGTGCGTTAGTTATGTGATGAGTATATGTAGAATAGATATATTAATACTATGTTATATCGCTACATAGCAGTATGTCAATAAGTGATATTAGTCTTTGAAGAGGACCTAAAATTAGCTACCTGTATACCCGCTTGACTGGACACATAAGTGAAGTTCAAAGTATGTGTCCGTGTTCGAAGTATGTGTCCTCGCTGTTGCAAACACACTTAGGTGGAAAGTGTATGTAAGAGTGGTTCTTACTGAATGGTGAACAAAACTGTGAGTGAACGAACTCACTTCTGCTGTTGAAAATATGTCCCTACTCCCCCCCTCCCCTCCACCCCCCTAACCCCCACCCCACAACCCCCACCCCACCCCCCCCCTCACCCCTCATCCACTACCCCATGTTCAGGGGGTTATAATCAATCAAACCCGGGCCCTCAGGATTACGCTCCCCTAGCGCTGTCTATTCAGCCACGTGTGTATTTACTATTTTTTTTATTTTTTATTAGTGTCTGGAGAATCGAGTTATTAGCTCTTGGACCCCGCCTTCCTAACCAATCTATTTCTCCTCTATTATGTCTACTACATTTATTTATCTCTAACATACACATACATCCCCACACACACACACACATCCCCAGGAAGTATCTATTTGCTATTAGGTGAGCAGGAGCATCAGGGTGAACGGAGCTCTGCCCATTTGTTTCTGCCTCGGCTGGGAATTGTACCCCCCTTAGGACTACGATCCCCGAGCTTTGTCCACTCAGTCGCGAGGCCCCTACCTCGTGTGTGTGTGTGTGTGTGTGTGTGTGTGTTTAGTTCGTCCTTCTAAGGTTTCCCAAAGTCAAGAAAACGGTCAATTTAAAGTGGTCTCCCTTAACCTACCTGAGGACCCACAACAGAAAACGGGACAGTACGTCATTTTCTTCAGCCGCTTTCATTTTCTAGTATGACAATTTTTGGCCTTTAGGTAACGCAAACGGGCGAAATACGACGTTCTTAGATGACAGGTTGGGGTGTGAGTGTGTCTCTCTTTCTCTCTCTCTCTCTCTCTCTCTCTCTCTCTCTCTCTCTCTCTCTCTCTCTCTCTCTCTCTCTCTCTCACACACACAGGAAGCAGCCCATAACAATTGTCTAACTCCCAGATACCTATTTACTACTAGGTAACACGGACATCAGGGTGAAAGAAACTCTACCCATCAGTTTCCACCAGAACCGGGGATCGAACCCGAACCCAAGGATTACGAGTCCTGAGTAACATCCACTTAGCCACCAGGCGCTCTCCTGGCGTGTGTGTATGTGAGAAGGTGAAAATATTATCCTCCAGTAGAGAGAGAACTTGGTATAAATGACAGAATTACAACACGTATTAGTGAGGAATAAAAACACACATTATTGAGAAATGTGGAGGCTGGGAAAGTGATGAATAATGAGGAATAATGAGAAATAATGAGACACTGTATCAGGCCGCGAGAAATGCAACATCCTGGGGTCCTTAAACTGATTGAATTTGCAGGGAAAAATGCCGTAAAGAGCGGCCATTACTCTATATGTGTACGCCAGGAAATGATTGAATTGACTAATATTGAGCCGGGGATCGCTCTCTCTGAGACAAGAAGCAATTATCTCCTTGCTCTACTACACGAGCCTGTTCTCTCTCTCTCTCTCTCTCTCTCTCTCTCTCTCTCTCTCTCTCTCTCTCTCTCTCTCTCTCTCTCTCTGTCTCTCTCTGTCTCTGTCTCTCTCTCTCTCCCTCTCTCTCCCTCTCTCTCTCTCTCTCTCTCTCTCTCTCTCTCTCTCTCTCTCTCTCTCTCTCTCTCTCTCTCTGTCTCTGTCTCTCTCTCTCTATCTGTCTCTCTCTCTCTCCCTCTCTCCCTCTCTCTCTCTCTCTCTCTCTCTCTCTCTCTCTCTCTCTCTCTCTCTCTCTCTCTCTCTCTCTCTCTCTCTCTCTCTCTCTCTCTCTGAAAATCTGCATTTGTAATATGCGGCAGCAGCTGACGCCAGCAAAGGGGATGGCATATTAAAAGTATGATTGGGAGTATATTGTGTGTCTGCATGAGTGTATGCGCGCGCTTTACATATATCAGGAATGCGTATGGCGTATTTGTTGCAGTATAACATATTCTTTTCAAATAAACAAAGAAAGAACGCGCCTGTAGGAGTCAGAAAGAGCTTAACAACTCCACTTCCATACTTAAAATCTGCTGCTGGAGGCCTCAGATGGAGACGCCCCTCTCTTGAGACGTCCTCCTCATCTTCTTAAAATTAATGTACTTACGATAACTAAATACTAAGTATCCCCCACTAAGTATCTAAGGTTCGAGTCACTTAGAGCCCAGGATTGCTAGGGGGAAGGTTAGGTTAGGTTAGGTTAGGTTAGGTTAGGTTAGGTTTTATATTTATGTTATAAATTAAAAGTTGAGACTTCCTGGTGGTCCATCACTACATATTGGTACTTCCTGGTGGTCCATCACTACATATTGGTACTTCCTGGTGGTCCATCACTACATATTGGTACTTCCTGGTGGTCCATCACTACATATTGGTACTTTCGACCAAATAGTTCATATAAACGCTAATTTTCCAAGAGAATGAATTGATGAATACACATTCACTAAACACACTAGTGATGAATACGAAGACTTGGACTATCTATTTCCTTAGATAGGGTATCTTAGATAGGTCCCTGATTTCTAAAAGGTATCTTTTTTTTCCCCATGAGTTAAAGTAACTTTAGCAAATAGATATAATTCATTATTTTCCCCGAGAGACAGCTCGAGTAATTCGGGTATATGGTTACCTTACCTTGAGGTGCTTCCGGGGCTTAGCGTCCCCGCGGCCCGGTCGTCAACCAGGCCTCCATGTGGTATGTGTACTTACATGTACACTCACTTGAGTACAACATAATGATGAGGATTCCAGTGTGGTGTACCTCGGGACGCTATGATGAGTGTGATGTTGAGGTATGAGGTAGGGGTGATGGCTCTGCTCCCCTTTCAAAGGGAGCATTTGAGTAGGAGGGAGGGGAGCATTTGAGTGGGGGGAGTTAAAGGGAAGGAGCATTTGAGTGGGGGGAGTTAAAGGGAATGAGTATTTGAGTGGGAGGGAACAGGCAGACCTGCTCTACCGTGTTGAAATACACGACAAAATTACATGCATAAATTCATTACCTGCTGGTCTAGACTATACGAATTCTTAGACTGTGTCTTCAGGGGGTTGGTCCAAGGGTATGACTTGAGGGGGGAATGGCTTGATGGGGTGGCTCTAAGGGCTGGCTTAAGGGCTTGATGGGGCGGCTTGATCAGATTTATTGGATAATGTTCTAGTGGAGTGAGTTTGGTTTAATTAATCTGGAGGGGTTTAATCAATTGTGTGTGGGTGTTTATTTGTTTGTTTGATGGATGTCGGGGCAGTTGTCGAATGGATGTATGTCGAATGTCGTACGTACACACACACACACACACACACACACACACACACACACACACACACACACACACACACACACACACACAAAGAAAGGACTAAGACAACAGACCCCTGATGCAATAGCAGTATTAGAGACCAAACTAACTAGCATGATTAGCAATGCGTTATTCCCAAAGCGATACCAAATAATGAGAAGCGAAAGACCCCACAGAGGAAGAGGAGGAGGAGATGTGGCACAACCGGTGAAAACAACGTGGATCCTTGAAAGCATTTCCTTGGAGGTGGAAATCAACTACATTATGAAGGATCATTTAGTTACATGATGATAAAGTGGTTGTGGCTGTAATCTACAACAACCCCCTCCCCCCTCTCCCCCCTCTCCCCCTCCCCCCCCTCCCCCGAGAACCACGGGTCCAGGTGGTTCTCCCCCCCCTCCCTTCCCCCTACCCCCCAGAGAATCACGCCCTGATGCCTCTGTTCACCTAGCAGTAAGACATGTTCCTGAGAGACACGATTATATGTATTAGATATAGAGAAAAAAAATAATTCGGGTGTTAGGTAATTAGAAAATGGACAATTAGAAAGGCGGGGTCCAGGAGCTAACAGCTCGATCCTGCAGGTACAAATAGTAAATACACACACATGGGGGGGTGTGAGGGGGGAGGGGGTTCTATGAGGCGCCGGATATTGTGCTGTCCTCATTAAATGAGGACAGTAATCTGTGATGTGTTTATAGTCCATCTTGGCATAGGTGTGCTGCCCTCAGCACCTCCTTCTCTCACTTTCCCTCAGCACCTCCTTCCCTCACTTTCCCTCAGCACCTCCTTCCCTCACTTTCCCTCAGCACCTCCTTCCCTCATTCGCTTCAACCACCAGTGAGTTAACGATGGTTTAACTCCGATTCGAGCCACGTTGTCGAAGTATTGTTGCGGCACTATGAAACTCGAGGACACTTTCCTCATCTCCGGGGGCACTTTCTTCACCTCCGGGGGCACTTTCCTCATCTCCGGGGGCACTTTCTTCACCTCCGGGGGCACTTTCTTCACCTCCGGGGGCACTTTCCTCAGCTCCGGGGGCACTTTCTTCACCTCCGGGGGCACTTTCCTCAGCTCCGGGGCACTTTCTTCACCTCCGGGGGCACTTTCCTCAGCTCCGGGGCACTTTCTTCACCTCCGGGGGCACTTTCCTCAGCTCCGGGGGCACTTTCTTCACCTCCGGGGGCACTTTCCTCACCTCCGGGGGCACTTTCTTCACCTCCGGGGGCACTTTCTTCACCTCCGGGGTCACTTTCTTCACCTCCGGGGGCACTTTCTTCACCTCCGGGGGCACTTTCTTCACCTCCGGGGGCACTTTCTTCACCTTCGGGGTCACTTTCTTCACCTCCGGGGGCACTTTCTTCACCTCCGGGGGCACTTTCTTCACCTTCGGGGTCACTTTCTTCACCTTCGGGGTCACTTTTCTCACGTCCGGGGGCACTTTCTTCACCTCCGGTGGCACCCTTCTGGTAAATGTCTCACTATCTTCGCCTCTATTTCACTAGTCTGGCTCGCTTATTTCCTCCATGGCACTATACTAGCTACTGTGTCATTGCCTACGCTTCCGTGGCACTGTCTTGATCACTGTTGCACACTCCTCTTCCCCCCATGGCACTGTCTTGATCACTGTACACACTCCTGTCCCCCATGGCACTGTCTTGATCACTGTTGCACACTCCTCTCACCCCATGGCACTGTCTTGATCACTGTTGCACACTCCTCTCACACCATGGCACTGTCTTGATCACTGTTGCACACTCCTCTTCCCCATGGCACTGTCTTGATCACTGTACACACTCCTGTCCCTCATGGCACTGTCTTGATCACTGTTGCACACTCCTCTTCCCCCCATGTCACTGTCTACTGGCACTTTATCTTGATGCAAAGACCTCCATCCCCCCTTCCCCCCCCCCCTCTCTAGTCTGTAATGAACGACGTTGTTTCCATACTGTCTTTGACTTCTTATGGCTAATGTGGTGATCTACCAGTCTGTTGTGGGTGGGTACATGTACGTGCTTTTTTTTTTGAGGGATATTTACCTTTGGCAACATTTACCCTTGCTGAAGGGTAATTTTTTTTTTTATTCTCAAAACTCGAAAATGAGTTTTGTATTTTGTATTTTTTATGCTTAGCTTTCCTGTACCGTCTGAATATTTATATACACTGCAGGTGTATTTTCAGCATGTTTTGTTTGTTTGTGTTTGTTTGTGTTTGTGTGTGTGTGTGTGTGTTTGTGTGTGTGTGTGTGTGTGTGTGTGTGTGTGTGTGTGTGTGTGTGTGTGTGTGTGTGTGTGTGTGTGTGTGTGTTTGATTTAGTATAGATCTACGCTCTTAAATTGTGAATCTTATCTTTCTACTAATACATCTAGTACTTCCAGTCGGATTGGCTCACTACAGCTCCGATTTTGCTTCTTTTACAGATCGCCGTTCGATTCCCGATGGTCCAAATCATTTGGCCAGAGTTCCTTACGTCTCTGCACATATAGTCTTCGTGTCCCCTTCCAAGTGCTCTTTAGCCAAACTGGTTCAGCACTTTATCTTTGCCTTACCTGATACATCTTTCTTTTGCTGCTGTGTGTGTGTGTGTGTGTGTTCATATGTATTATGAGTCATTGTTTTAATGGCTCCGCTGGCTACCGTGAACGATTCTTGACTTATTGTAATAAGAATATCTTTCAGGATTGAGGATATGTCTTAAGAATGTTGGAAAATTCTTCTCGCTGATTCAGAGGTTTTAGCTGTCCCATTTCTGCTGTAGTTTTCGGGTAAATTAAGGTATTGTGTGTATACAACAGCTGGAGAAGACTGAGCATTTTGTGTAAACAACAGCTGAACAAGATTGAGCATTTTGTGTAAACAACAGCTGAACAAGATTGAGCATTTTGTGTAAACAACAGCTGAACAAGATTGAGCATTTTGTGTATACAACAGCTGAACAAGATTGAGCATTTTGTGTATACAACAGCTGAACAAGATTGAGCATTGTGTGTATACAATACTTGGAGAAGATTGAGCATTTTATGTATACAATACTTATACACAACTGACAGCATACCAAACTACGGTACTACACACTTATTACATTTTCTCCAACGTTTATCTATAGGCCTAGTAGCTTGGTTAGTTCATCTTAGATGTTTTTCTTGGTGTGATATTCTACAAGTTGATGACAAGGGGGTTGAGGCCTGAACCATCTCGTCAGGGCCTGGGGGATAGGGAGGATGGGCCTAAGGCCTATCAACCTCTGGGGAGTTATTAAAAGCCAACTATTAACAGCTTACTGGCTAACTAGAATGCAACGGCTTAGAAAAATCCACATTTTCCACATTTTCTTTGCGTAGGTTCGTAAGGTTATGAGGGTGGTCTGGTTTCTTGAGTTTCCCCTTATTTCGTGCTTTATGGCAAATCATAAAAAACGGGATGTTAGAAGGGGGTACTGCTTTATTATTCTCTGGATAATATTATCTTAGTAAACTTTGAGGAAACTCAGGGTTAACGTGACAACCTTGGGTTCTGAGCACCCAATGGGTTAGGATCTAGGTTTACATAGCATTTAAATTGATATCCTTGGCGCTGATGCACCGAACTCAGGGCTTAAAGTTCCTTGGCATTATGTCTGGCGTAAGTCAAAGAACATTGTTGTTCAAAAGTAGTTGTTCTTTTCTTTGGTATACTAAGGAGAATATTGAGATTTTGGAATAAGGATAAGGTGTTCTTGCTCCCTATTCTGACAACTGTGGCACTTTTCTTACTTGCTGTGGCACTTCTCCTACTGGCTGTGGCTCTCTGTTACTTACTATGGCACTCTCCTACTTTCTGTGGCACTCCCCTACTGTGTGACCTTTCTCTGGACACGTAGACACCCATTGGTCAATATGGGACATTATTAATGCAACAATAATCTATACGTTGGCTACATAGCAGCTATGCCACACTGCTGACCACTATGGCACTCTCCCCCCAGTCGCCTATGCCACACTCCTTGCATCTGTGGCACTCCCTAGTTGTTGCGCCATTTCAATGGTCACTATGGTCTCAGTCCAGCTGTAATCCTCTTGAATCTCGTACTGTACTACTCCTGTATTTCATAGTGTAACCAGAGTGTAACCGCTCCCTGTGGCTTGAGTGATAAGTTATGTTTAGTTCGCTATTATTTTTTCCCAATACACAGATATACCTCACTCGGAAATGTGGATTAGGATATAATTTACATATACTGACAGGCATAAATAACTAACCCACACACATACACACACGTACATATACACACACGTACATATACACACACGTACATATACACACACACACACATACACACACACACACACACACACACACACACACACACACACACACACACACACACACACACTCGTATATATTCATATCAAACGAGACCATCAAATATCAAATGATTCACGATGAGGCCATTGTGAATTGCCAACAACATCGCTCAATGGATATCAACAGTAGTGCAATAACCATTTATACCACTACCACCACTACCACTACCCCCACCACCACTGCTACCACCACTACCACCACTACCACCACTGCTACCACCAATACTAATGTTTCCGTTTTTTACAGGCAGTCCGGACATCTTAATTTGCGGCAATTGTCGGGAGCTGTTTTCCAACCTCAGTGACTTCATCGACCATCGACGGACCTATTGCAAGCTCAGGTTCACTTGCAAGTGTTCCTCTCACAATGGTGTCATGCGTGAGTATTGTCTTTCATCTCCTTGGCACTGTTTTCCGTCTTGGCACTGTTTTTTCATCTCTTTGGCACTGTTTTCTATCTCCTTGGCACTTTTTCACCTCCTTGGCACTGTATTTACATCTCTTTGGCACTGTTTTCCATCTAAATACAAACTCCTTTCTCATATCTACTCGTTTTTAAGACCTTTTTCCAGTAAGGCTCATTATCGCGTGTTTTCCTAGCACCATTAACATTATCACCTGTTGCTAACGAGCAGTTTCGTTATCTATGACGGTGGGATATCGTTATTAATTACGAGAGATGTCGCCCGCCCTAAGGTGCTTGTTGACTGGAGGGTGAACAGATGCTTCAGGTGTAAGGAAACCCTGGACAAATATATTTCGTCCCGTTCAGGATTTTGAGACGCCATGATTTATCGGTTGCGAACCGACGGCTCTGATAGAGTTGTACTCTTTGGGGTTTGCGTGCGCTTGTTTGCGTGTGCGTGCGTAGGAACAAGCAGCAATTAAGGTAACTGGTCGTTACACGCCCCAACTTGTCTAGTTCGTTATCTTCAAGCACCTGTTTAGGCAACCTAATTAGGCTTCATTACCCAACAACATTACTTTGAAAATTACATTTTTAATCTCCAGCAAGTGTGCCTTTAAGAGCGGCTCTTAATACGCTCACAGGGGGACATAGCCGGGGATATAGCGGCCAAGGTTGAGAGCTTGGGGCAAGGGGGCATAGCAGGGGATATAGCGGCCAAGGTTGAGAGCTTGGGGCAAGGGGGCATACCAGGGGATATAGCGGCCAAGGTTGAGAGCTTGGGGCAAGGGGGCATAGCAGGGGATATAGCGGCCAAGGTTGAGAGCTTGGGGCAAGGGGGCATAGCAGGGCATATAGCGGCCAAGGTTGAGAGCTTGGGGCAAGTGGGCATAGCCGGGGATATAGCGGCCAAGGTTGAGAGCTTGGGGCAAGTGGGCATAGCCGGGGATATAGCGGCCAAGGTTGAGAGCTTGGGGCAAGTGGGCATAGCCGGGGATATAGCGGCCAAGGTTGAGAGCTTGGGGCAAGGGGGGCATAGCAGGGGATATAGCGGCCAAAGTTGAGAGCTTGGGGCAAGGGGGCATAGCAGGGGATATAGCGGCCAAGGTTGAGAGCTTGGGGCAAGGGGGCATACCAGGGGATATAGCGGCCAAAGTTGAGAGCTTGGGGCAAGTGGGCATAGCCGGGGATATAGCGGCCAAGGTTGAGAGCTTGGGGCAAGGGGGCATAGCCGGGGATATAGCGGCCAAGGTTGAGAGCTTGGGGCAAGGGGGCATAGCCGGGGATATAGCGGCCAAAGTTGAGAGCTTGGGGCAAGGGGGCATAGCAGGGCATATAGCTGGCAGGTAGAGAGCTTGGAATTCCATATCTATGGGCACACATAAGTGATCATTGCATGGGATAGTGGACACCAAAAACGCTTGGGAAATGCTTACGTGGCCCATGGCAGGGGAGTTAACCTCTCCCTACCATTCCATCCCTCTTTCCTCTGACTCTTCCAGCGAAACCAAATTGAACTTAGCACTTCCATTACTTCACAAGTTTGCGAGTTAACTCGTATTTCTCCAGCAGTTAAAGACACACAGACCTATGTGACGAAGGTCTCCTACAGCTCCTACGTGAAGGTGTAAGGCACGGTGGAGAGAGAGAGAGGGAAGATGTGATGGGAAAGGAGGTAAAGAGAATAGGTCGTCGAAACAGTCTACGGGAATCACAACCCATGTTTTACTTATTTTTATTCCAGCAAAGTAACACCCATTATCATCATTCTATTCCCTTACTATACCCACTACATTTTTAACACAATCGACCCCCTCTGTGTGAAACAAAAATTATATCCGTTTACAAACATTAAAAACCTTTACTATTAACGCCTTTTAGCGACTAATGAGTATTGGCTCCGGTAGGTTAAGTGAGTAGCCCTTTTTTGACGTTTTTATTTAAGCTAATCCACTGTATTTTTTACGAAGGAGATATCTAGAGAACAGGCTGGGTCATTTACTCTTTGGAAGTTACTAGTCTGTATTTACCCTGGTTAAATGAGTATTTTTATCCATTTAAAAGTCTGCTACTAGTTTGCTAAATAATTATTATTTTAAATTATTTTTTAATATTTTATTTTAATATATTATAATAATATAATATTTTAATTATTATAAATTATAAGTTTCATATTTTCGAACCATGTGTAATAATTTTAGTATGACTAAAATATTATTGTGTTTGTTTTTTTATACTTTTTCTACACCATTTGAGAGATCTGATACAAGATACAATGTTGTAATACATTGTTAATACAATGAGTATTAACAAAGCTAGAAGGTAACCCATAATGTGTATAGTCCTTCAAAACAAAAAACCTTGTGTATAGTCTTTCTAAACCCTTCAAAACAACAGATGCAACTTACTGTTCAGATAACAGGTGTTATGAGCCGGTGGAGTCACCTGTCCTTCCTGAACCGGTGTGATATCTGAACTAGAAAGTATTATATACATTACACTGCACAAAAGGACAACAGTAAAATGTTTAAAACTGAAACTGAGTCGAGAAGGATAGAATATAATAATATACGAAATATACTGGAAGGTATAAATTATGATTTGGATTACGGAGTTCGCGGGTTCAAATCCACCTCACGGCTCCGACTGGTTTTTCTAATTGAGACATTACTTTGAAGTGATTTCATCGTGTTTACTGGAAGATAGAGCGGATGCTGAAGAGTAGAAGTATTGGCGATATTTCTCAGTGGACATTAGACGCCCACAAGGTATTAACTGTTCTTTGGCATATATATAAGATATATGTACAAATCCACAAGGGCCGTGACGAGGATTCGAACCTGCGTCCGGGAGCATCCCAGACACTGTCTTAATCGACTGAGCTACGACAGGGTTAAAGTGGCAGGGTTATTAAGGCAGTGTCTGGGATGCTCCTGGACGCAGGTTCGAATCCTCGTCACGGCCCTTGTGGATTTGTTCATTTGATGCATCACGTTAGTGTGATCTCTGTGTGTGATAAGATATATGTAGATGAAAAGGCACAATAACGTGGCTTAAAAATGTTGACCAAACCACACACTAGAAACTGAAGAGACGACGTTTCGTCACATTATCGACTTGATAATGGTCAAGGCTCGACCGAAACGTCTCATCAATATCTGGTTTGATCAATATAATATATATTTTTATAAAACAAATGTTACACGTTTTCAAAGGAGAATGAAATAGGCTTCTCTAGGGAAAAGCCTGATCAGCCGAATTGTAATGGAAAAATAAAAATGTACCTCATATTTTGCTCTTGACTGTGAGATAATAATAGTTCTAGTTAAACCCATATTGTTCACAGGACTAACAATGCATTTAGTTCACGTTTGTGTACCACTCTTTGTCAAACAATGGACCAGGCAGTGAGAGAGATGTTCTCACGGTTCCATTCCTCATTCCTCACTGTAGCAAGAAACACTTCTACTATTTGCTATTACAAATCAATTTCACTCATCTGCTCTGACATGGCAAATCAATGCAGATTTTATTCACAAAATATATTTTTTTAATTATTGAATATCACCTGAAAGTATAAGTGAAGATGTGTATGCTCATTTAACTACAAGAATTGTCCTGGTCAGTGAATGCTGCGTCGCTTATTCCGGAAGGTTAAAGGTGTTTGTGTGTGGTAAGTTTTGAAGGGTGGCACAGAATAAGGGCTGGGAGAGTAATAGGCAGACCAACCGCTTACTTTCACCGCGGAAATACACCACATATACACCGCTTATACACCGCATAAGACCCTAGGCTCGTATAGAGATGTGGGGGGGCAACTATGTACTCAAATACCCCCGTCGTAGATGCGAAAATGCATTCTCGACAAACCCGTGTGGAAGCTGGGCACTCTAACACAGTCTGCCTCATATTGTCAAGTTTTTTGTAACAGCTGTCAGATGAAAATGGGCGGCCCTAAGCGCTAAGCAATTGGGTAAACTTAACTATAAATGCTGCGTAACAAAAACATTTTGGTGTAAAGTGCTGCTAGCTTTCACGGCATTTTTTACGGTTTTACCTCGAGAATTGTAATGTCTAGCTTTTTACCGTTTAACGCCCAGTCCTGGCCATATGTGCCGTTAATCTTTAAGCGTCGAGTTATAGTGATATTGAAATATTGACCACTAAACGTCGGGTGATATTTTAGCTCACAACAGTTATACGGGGGGCTGAAAGTAGCACTTTTCAGACCCAGCCCGTACACGGACACCCACTAACGTGGAACAATAAGTGTCCCCATCAACGCGCCGTGACTAAACTGGTGATGACGGCGGAGTTTTATGTAGTTTTGATGACCCTTTCTCGCGAGTAACAAGAATATATTTATATAGAGAGAAGTATTGCCCATTCAGTTATTCGTACGAGATAGAGAGTGGGTGATGGGAGCCAAGTCTTTAGTCTGTAATGACTTCGTAAGTAAAGGTATGTTTACCCCGCGGTCTCCAGGCTAGTCTCGCTCGCCTGCGACCTCCAAGCTAGTCTCGCTCGCCCGCGGCCTCCAGGCAAGTCTCGCTCGCCCGCGGTCTCCAAGCTAGTCTCGCTCGCCCGCGACCTCCAGACTAGCCTCGTCGGCCCGCGACCTCCAAGCTAGTCTCGCTCGCCCGTGGCCTCCAGGCAAGTCTCGCTCGCCCGCGGTCTCCAAGCTAGTCTCGCTCGCCCGCGACCTCCAGACTAGCCTCGTCAGCCCGCGACCTCCAAGCTAGTCTCGCTCGCCCGTGGCCTCCAGGCTAGTCTCGCTCGCCCAAGACCTCCAGACTAGCCTCGCCAGCCCGAGGTTTCCGCCAAACGCTCATAAAATCAGGCGGGCGGCACAATATACACACAGGGAAAAATCCCTGACGCAGTTTGATAAGACTTGTGAGCACATCGACCTGTGAAACACAGCGCCCTGTGAAACACAGCACCCTGTGGAACACAGCGCCCTGTGAAACACAGCACCCTGTGGAACACAGCGCCCTGTGAAACACAGCGCCCTGTGGAACACAGCGCCCTGTGAAACACAACACCCCGTTTCGAACAGCGTCGTGCGAGCCACATCGTCCTCGTCACTTCTCGAACTTAATGTCTCGAAACGGCGTTTCGGAGTTTCGTTTCGCCCCCCTTCCCCCAGTCCGGCGTGTGTGTATGCGTTCTGTTGTTAGCAGTGTCAACTTTGTGTATTTGTTCTCTTAAGTGAGCAGTGCTGGAACTTAGGTTCAGGATACAGCATGATTTGTATTCGCTTTTGCTATATGGATTAAGCTCCCGTGGATTTTTATTTTGTTGTGGGGGGTTAAAAAAGTTACGGCAGGTTGAAGTAGGAATGAAAAAGGCATCAGACAGCGTCATAACAAATGCAAACTCAAATCCGTCATTTAAAACTAGATTGTTGAGTAATTTAAGGACATAATTAGCATAGAAACTACCATTTGCGTGGTTGATATAGGCCTGCCAACACGTAGGATCTGATATAAAAATTTAGATATCAGATCTTATAAAACGCTTGCACAGATACCCGTTATCTTACGTGCAAGGAAGTTTTCGAGTGCGAGAAGCTTTGAGCTTCAATTCTGAGTGCAGGAAACGTTTCTACGGTGCCCCCGAGTGCAAGAGGGGATGCTACGGAACCCGAGTGCGAGCCAAGACAGCAGTTAAGAAGCAAGACGGTGAAAGGAAATTGGAATCAGTAAATACTGACCGCCTCCCGGAAGTCGATGTCGCGCGGTCAGTACCAGCGCAACATTTTTGTTGAGAACGGCACTCTACTGCCTTTATTTATCGCCTTCTCTCTCTCTCTCTCTCTCTCTCTCTCTCTCTGGGGGAGAGTTCTCCGAAGTAAGACAAAGCAATATTATGTTTACAGCGTGGCTAGCGAGCCGCCAGCTTACAATCTCCTTCGAAGGAATGTCGGAGCTGGAAGTAAAATGTCAATTTCGTAAGGATTAATTTTATTCCCCTGTGGGACAGAGCTCCCGTCTGACGATTAATCTTATATTAAGTACCTCCCAACTCTTCTTGTCTCTCAATTATATATATATATATATATATATATATATATATATATATATATATATATATATATATATATATATATATATATATATGTCGTACCTAGTAGCCAGAACGCACTTCTCAGCCTACTATGCAAGGCCAGATTTGCCTAATAAGCCAAGTTTTCATGAATTAATTGTTTTTCGACTACCTAACCTACCTAACCTAACCTAACCTAACTTTTTTGGCTACCTAACCAAACCTAACCTATAAAGATAGGTTAGGTTAGGTTAGGTAGGGTTGGTTAGGTTCGGTCATATATCTACGTTAATTTTAACTCCAATAAAAAAAATTGACCTCATACATAATGAAATGGGTAGCTTTATAATTTCATAAGAAAAAAATTTGAGAAAATATATTATTTCAGGAAAACTTGGCTTATTAGGCAAATCGGGCCTTGCATAGTAGGCTGAGAAGTGCGTTCTGGCTACTAGGTACGACATATATATATATATATATATATATATATATATATATATATATATATATATATATATATATATATTAGACCACAAAGGAAGGATTAGGACAGGAATTTCCTTAAGTACTTTCGTATTTAATAATACATCATTAGAAGGATCAATATGTATAACACATTTTTATATATATATTTATTAAATACGAAATTATAAAGGAAATTCCTTTCTTTATATTATAATTTTTATTATAATTTATATATTATAAATAATTATAGAATTATTATAAATTACATTATAAATAATATAATATAATATTATATTATTATATAATATTATATAATATAATATATTTTATATATATCACGAGATTTCTGCTCACTATATATAAGTTCTTGACAATATGTATGCTATTATATGACGTCCTAAACTCCTTTTTGAAACATCCTGACTAATAATTCACTGACACGGGTGACTATAACATACTCCATCTGGCTGCCCTGAAATACGACAGACTACCCACTCATGTACTTAATTATGTTGTGACTTGCCTGACCCCATTGTTATCCCTCCCTGACTGAGATTGCTGCCTTGGCAGGTACAGAGGAGAGTGCTCTGCTACTCTGCGCACTCTGCAAGGAGAACTTTGCATCTGCCTGGGACTTGATGGTCCACGCACAGGCTGCTCACATGGTTAATATCTACCAATTGGGATCCAAGGACACCCTACAGGTTAGTTATTTCTATCCACTGTTCAGCTATCCACTATCCCCAGAGAGAGAGAGAGAGAGAGAGAGAGAGAGAGAGAGAGAGAGAGAGAGAGAGAGAGAGAGAGAGAGAGAGAGAGAGAGAGAGAGAGAGAGAGAGAGGGAGAAGTAGCGTTTTATATATACAATCCTAATTATAAATGATTTAAAAGAGAATAAAGTTTTAAGGTTTGTAATTCGTAACTATTGTTGTTGGTAAACAAGTATATGGGTTGAAAGATCAAGATTGGGATGTCTGTTACCATCACAGACCTTTACAGTGATGTTTAGTAATACTCCAACAGGCGAAATATGGGTTATATTCACAGAGGAGTTGCCATTGTAAACAAACCTGTCACGGTAACATCACCTGCATAAGAAACGCCCCTCGAAGACACACACAATAACAAGCTCATGTAAATCGGGCAATTTCAAGGGTGAGCCGATACATCCGTGACTTGAAGCACTCTATGAGGCCAGCTGCATCCTCTGTCATGGTCTGGCTCAGTGGTGCTTCGTGAGGCCAGCTGCGTCCTCTGTCATGGCCTGACTCAGTGGTGCTTCACGAGGTCAGCTGCGTCCTCTGTCATGGCCTGACTCAGTGGTGCTTCACGAGGCCAGCTGCGTCCTCTGTCATGGTCTGGCTCAGTGGTGCTTCACGAGGCCCGCTGCTCCCTCTGTCATGGCCTGACTCAGTGGTGCTTCACGAGGCCAGCTGCTCCCTCTGTCATGGCCTGACTCAGTGGTGCTTCACGAGGCCAGCTGCGTCCTCTGTCATGGCCTGACTCAGTGGTGCTTCACGAGGCCAGCTGCTCCCTCTGTCATGGCCTGGCTCAGTGGTGCTTGCGCTAAACTCTCATATATACCACAGTGTTTGGGATATACAAAGACCTTAGCATGACTGGTGGGTGCAAATGCCGAAGGTCTTACGGACCGTGAGGTAGGTCTGCTTCCTCACAAGATACTCATGCCTCACAGGTGCTCCCGATGCCTCATAGGTATGAGGCATCAGCTCATATTTTTTGAGCTCTTAATCCCATCATTGTCCCCTCCAAACATCACACAACCTCAGCATTCGTCTTACTATTGAATTTGGCCCATTTCTTCAATTTAAAATCCATTTATTAACAAATGTGCTATATAGCCCCATAAGTTTCCTTTATATATGTTGAAACCCAAATGCCGTATATCCATGTCTGAATCCTCGTGTTCCTATTTTGAACCCAATGTCAACATTTTTGCAGTGGATTGGAGTACCCGGCGTCGCCCGGGTCTCCACTCACACACTCTTCCCGGCCTTTCCAGCACCTACACACCTTTCCCATTTCCCCTCCCTGCCCGCATATGCCATCCCTGTTTCCACCCTCCCAGCACGCGGGCAAACTCCTCATCTCTACCCTTTCCCATCTCTTCCGTCACAGTAACTAAAAGGTTGTGCCCAGGAGGTAAATCTGTTGTCTGAAACTACGTGAAAAAAGTCAATAACTTAATTCACTTAAATTGAAACTAATGCTAAAATCTATTGATTCGGGGCCGAACATTTCACAATTCTCCACATTTTTCATATCACCATACCTCCCCACATATCCCTACACCTCCCTACACTTCTCCACACCTTCCCACACCTTCCTACACCTCCCCACACCTTCCCACACCTTCCGACAGCTTCCCACACCTTCCGACACCTTCCCACACTTCCCCACACCTTCCCACACCTTCCCACACCTCCCCACATCTCCCCACACCTTCCCACACCTCCCCACATCTCCCCACACCTTCCCACACCTCCAGACACCTCCCCACACCTTCCCACACCTCCCCACATCTTCCCACACCTTCCCACACCTTCCCACACCTTCCCACACCTTCTCACACCTTCCCACACCTTCCCACGCCTCCCCACACCTCCCCACACCTCACATCTCCCTGTTACCTCTCAACACCTTCCCAAACGTCCTGCCCACCATTTCCTTAACCAGCACGGTACTGAGGCACGCCCCTCCCTCCCCTCAGGATAGCGGCACGTGCAGCACGGCCGAGGACAGCACGGCAGGCAGCACGCCCGCTAGTGACCTCGGAGGTGACATGAGTACGGAGAGTAACGGTGGCGAGGCGCGCGGCGAGGCGAGCGACTGTGCCAAGATGGAGGAAGACCCCAGGGCACCCCTTCCCAAGCAGGTGAGGCAGGGTTGGCTGGGGGACGTGGTGGCAGGGAAGAGGAGGTGGGGGAAGGGAAGGGAAGGTGGTGGAAGGGGTGTGTGAGTATCAGGTGTAACGGGCAGCAGATGGGATGGGCATCGAGTGGAACAGGCAGCAGAGAGACAGGGGCATCACCCACTCACCCCAGACATAATCTTCGAAGACAGGTGGCAGGGAAGAGGAGGTGGTGGAAGGGAAGGGAAGGTGGGGGAAGGGAAGGGGTGTGTGGGTATCAGGTGTAACGGGCAGCAGATGGGATGGGCATCGAGTGGAACAGGCAGCAGAGAGACAGGGGCATCACCCACTCACCCCAGACATAATCTTCGACGGTAAAACTCCCCAATAAGGGAACTATTGCTCACTCCTGACGCGGTAATGTGACACAAGAGCCATGTTTCCTCCTCTTCCTGGACCTGTTAAACTGTCCTGTCCCATTCACTCTCTTGTAATTCAACAGTGTTTCGTGGTGTGGCATGATAGATTGTTTTCATCAACCTCTATCCTTCCCTCAACTCCCTACCTAACCTCTATCCCTCCCTCGCTCCCTCCCTCTTTCCCCAACCTTCCCTCTACACCACGAATGTTCAGTTCCATGAATTAAGTGAAGGATGTGGGGAAAAGGTCGTTGTGTCTCGGCCATTAGCTGGGATTGCAGTTAGGTGGACGCTCCCATGTATTAGTAGCGAGACCTTAACACGTCTTAAATCTGCAGCTTATGACTTTCTTGCAGCCTAATTAGAGGCTGTGGAGCCTTAAGGACTTTGCTCAGCTTCCTCCGGGGGAGACTTAATTGGAGGGGGTTAGGGTGGGTGGGTGTGTGTGTGTGTGTGTACTCTCCTAATTGTACTCACCTAATTGTGCTTGCGGGGGTTGAGCTCTGGCTCTTTGGTCCCGCCTCTCAACCGTCAATCAACTGGTGTACAGATTCCTGAGCCTATTGGGCTCTATCATATCTACATTTGAAACTGTGTATGGAGTCAGCCTCCACCACATCACTGCCTAATGCATTCCATTTACTAACTACTCTGACACTGAAAAAGTTCTTTCTAACGTCTCTGTGGCTCATTTGGGTACTCAGCTTCCACCTGTGTCCCCTTGTTCGCGTCCCACCAGTGTTGAATAGTTCATCCTTGTTTACCTTGTTTACCTTGTTTACCGGTTTACCTTGTGTGTGTGTGTGTGTGTGTGTGTGTGTGTGTGTGTGTGTGTGTGTGTGTGTGTGTGTGTGTGTGTGTGGGTGTGGGTGTGTGTGTGTGTAGGGTGAGGAGGGGGATTTTGTGAGTGTCTTTGCCTAACAGTGACTACGAGGAAGTGGTAGGTTTAGCTCCTGGTCCCCGGCCTACCAGCCATGTTGCACCTGTTGCGTTGCAATTTAACTGTTCCGACGTTCGAATTGTTGTTGTCGAATCTAGATTGTAGATAGAGGTGGCTTCCACAACTTCCTTCAGTGAATACCACATATATACTACCTACACAGGGCACATGTATGTCCTTACATATATCTCACTCATTTACCTTTTCAGCTTCCACTTGTGTCCTCCTGTCATACTTTCTTTCATTTACAAGAGGCTATCCTTATCAACCCCTCTCTTATTTTCCCTTAGTATCTTGTATGACGCGATCATGTCTTTTAGGTTGTGAGATTTAGTTTACCTCAAAAAAAAATATATATATATATATTTTCAATTTTGGTTTTATGCCCCACAGAGTGCAGATTCCAGGGTCATTATATTTAAATCATAGAACCTGAATCAAGTGATTGTCAGAACAATTAAACTCAAATATGCAGACGAGGAGTCATAATAACGTGGCTGAAATATGTTGACCAAACCACACACACTAGAAAGTGAAGGGACGATGACGACGTTTCGGTCCGTTCCGAATGTGTTTTTTGAATCGTTCAAATATCTCCTTTTAGTTGCTTTAGAGTTATCATCATCCATAACCCATTAAATAACGACACGCCTCATCCAAGAGATTCTATGACAGTCCCTTTTTTTCCAGAATGGCGTTGGTGGAGAGGAGGAAGGAGAAGGGAGCAGGGAACTAATGAACGGCGCGTCACCAATGCCGCAACAGACAGAGTTGGAGCGAAGCGAGGCGGTGGTAACCCAGTGAACCACATCAACCACACCACCACCAGAACCCAAACCCCACCTCAACCCTCCCTCCGCCCCCTCCTGCACCTCACAACACCTCCCTACTCTCCGCCCCCTCAACCCCCCAAGCCTTTCCGCAGTTACCCCTCTCTTACCACCATTGCGACAACAGCTACAGAAAACGGCACTAAGTTATTCAAGAAACCTATTGGGTGAAACTTAGAGTCGTCCTCGACTTCCAGTAACGTAATCCTCGGGCCTTGTGGTTGACAGGAATACTGCCTCAGTATTTTCAGGCAAAACAATAGCCTATATCTTTTTGCAAACTATTGTGCGTAACTTGTTTCTCCTGGATGTGTATTTTCTGTCATTTAGTTTCATATAATCAAAGCCTATTCATTCAGCAATGATTTTTTGCTTCAGAGAAAAGAAATCACAGGTTGCAATCCGAGTGCACCTCTCAATAGTGAGGAGATGGGCTCAAGGTCACGACATGCACAACTGCCTTAAGACTGACTTCACTCCTACACAGCAACACAATATTGTGTTCTTTGAATCATCACAATAATCTTCCTCCCCCATCCTCCCCCATCATCTTCAACACTGTTGTCAGATGACGAAAATCCACTTACCGTAGCGTAGGTGTCAAACTGTATAGGTATATTGAGAGAGAGAGAAAAAAAATATTCTACAGACAGGCAGGGAAGACGTAAATGATCAGTCTCCTGTAGCTGTGTTGGTGTGGTTCTCCAAGCTGCCGCCAGGGAAGCAATGGGAATCGAAGGGACTGAAATGGGCCCAAGGAAGAGCAGATTGAAGGTCACATAGGGGCCGCTCACGCCCACCAAAGGCTCGGAAAGTTTGCTATGAATCTCCAAAAAGTCGCCAGAAAGAAGTCCCTCACTTCACACATACGCTGTCACTCGAGGTCAAGTCACACTCAGGGTAACGGTATTGGTAACGAGGAATCATCGTGCCTCGTTAGTCCACAAAGAACCACGCCCTGAAAACGGTGAGATTGGACACTGGTAGTGTAAAAATAACGTGTACAGAGAGTTATGAGAGATATATATAAAATCTTGCAACAAGTGAATTGTACCACGGTGGCGGAAGCTTCGTAGTGAGGTGATAGGTGACTCGAAACGGAACCAATGAGACAGTGTGTATGGTACTGCACTTCAGTAGTGTCAAGACCTCACTCCCTTAAAGTGGTGATCTTCAAGGCCGAAGAGAATTGCTCCCTGGTATGAACGAGATCGCTTAACCCAGCTAGTTTGGAGGTATCTAAGATGGTATTGTTGGGTGGTTGTGGTACCCTGGTGGCGGTATGGTATAGTCTTATATTCTAGTCTACTAGAATATATATTTAATTCTAGTATTTCAATTAAACTGTAATGTAGGTGAGAAATGCAAAACAAAAAAAGAGTGGACATGTGTGGTAATTACAAGACTTCCGACGACTCGTTTAAGTTGTGACAAATAGACAAAGGCCCACAATAGTTTAATTTGTAAAACATTTGTGTATTTGGTTTATGATGTGAGTGTAAGGAAAATTAATTAGAAATCATTTTGGAAGACATATCGTAAGGGGTTTTGTTTTCATTTGGTATTAATAAGATTTCAAGCATTTTGTTTCTCAGTGGCAATATTTGTTAGTATATTTAGAACAGGGATCACATATGGAGTCAGTATTATCCAAGATGATATTAAGCAATCATTCAAATGCTGTGATGTGAACATTAGGGTAAATTTTGTCACTTTGAACCATTAATAGATAATAGTATAGAGTCTTTTCATATGAATCTTTATAGAGTAAAGATTCTCTTATCAATCAAAGTTTAAAACAAAAAAAACACAAAAAAAGACGTGCGGATCAGATCTCTAAAACATGTTTCCTTAAAGCATCAACGAAGACCCTCTCAGCCCGGACTCTCGCCACCGACTGAACCTTCAGCGCCTCTGGCGGCCAGGCTAGCGAAGTTCGGCTGTGACGTCACGCATGTAAACATTAGAGAGATCTTAGTGCCTCTTCCACCAATCGCAGAATCCTGTTTCAGTGTCACCTGCGTGACGTCATACTTGATTCCCGTCTGTTTCTGCCCTCACTTCTAAGGAAAGAGGGAGTGAATGATACAAGGAGATGCCGTTGACAAATCCCGATGCAATAAAGCTTCATTGAAGAGTTTTTTGTTAGTGAAGCACCACGACTTCAAAAAGTAAATGACAATCGGTTTTCCATCATTGTAATAGGGGGAAAGTTGACATATTTAGTTTATGACTATTGTAGTTGTTACTCCTCATATTTCAGCCATATTGTCGGCTGTCTATTGTAATACATATCAAGGTTAGGGGGAGTAGAGTAGTATGGGTAGAGGGAGGGGGGCATTAGACGTGACTCGCACTCTCCACTTCTGTCCTAGAAAGTATATATATAGGAGTTAGGGAAAACGGAGTTAGGGGTCACTGTGCCAAAAATACGAGTAGCCATAGAATTTGACATGACTCCCGTAAAGGGACAGATACCCCAATTAATAAATGGGTAGGGAATCAATTAGCATTGTAGGTCAGAATAGCTGCCCCTTTCTTGCAGTGAAGGTCGTGGGTCGCTCAGTCCCTAGCATGTGTGTGTGTATGTCAATCTGGGAGAATTTTGAGCACGACCCCTCTATATTTTCGGCTTTTTCTATCCTCAAACTTGGTGAACAGCCGCTCAGAGTTATCGCTCAAGTGCTCATCAGGTTTCAAGTGTCGTGTCAGAGTTCGGGCCCCGTGTGGAAGACTTCTGCTTATCGAGGAATAACATTTAATAAAAGATCGCCAAAGATCGCCTTTGTTTCGTGTACAAATCTCTCAAATGATCTGTGAAGACATGGCTTTGTTGGTTGTTTAAAGGATAACTTTAGAATTAGGTACATATCATCAATCATGTCTTTGTCTTAGAGTTGCGATCGAGTCAGCTGCTGTTTTGACTCCCGTTGTAAGTCGCCAGAAGGGAGAAAATGCGCTGTGAAAAAAAAAACAATAATAAGCCTTACAGGGCCCACTCGAGACAAACGGCAGCTGATTGGGTTTCATTTAGTCCTATAATCTATGTTGATTTGGAATTTGGATTGAACATCCCCCCTCCTACCCCCCCTCCCCCTTTGTAGGTGTTAAGGGATAATGACAATAACTTATTGGGATATCGGTAGTTATCCAATTTGAGGTATTTCTGATACAACTCCAGTTAAATGGTGCACATTTAGCGAGTCTTTGTAACTGGCGAACTGCCCAGTTTGTTAGCAGTCTCGACGGACCCCCCAAGTCTTAGTCTCTTTTCATACGAAGTTGATCGACGTTAATACGTTCAAACTTTCTAAAACTAGTCATAGAAGTATATCATCGAACTTATATTTCTTTTCCCTATATGTGAGAAGATCTTCAGCTCCTGAGCCTTCAAGCAGAAGACGCAAGGGGGGCCCGCAGTTCCCCAAGCAGCAGAGGCAAGAGGCCTGCAGTTCCCCAAGCAGCAGAGGCAAGGGGCCCGCAGTCCCCCAAGCAGCAGAGGCAAGGGGCCCGCAGTCTCCCAAGCAGCAGAGCCAAGGGGCCCGCAGTCTCCCAAGCAGCAGAGGCAAGAGGCCCGCAGTTCCCCAAGCAGCAGAGGCAAGGGGCCCGCAGTCCCCCAAGCAGCAGAGGCAAGGGGCCCGCAGTCTCCCAAGCAGCAGAGCCAAGGGGCCCGCAGTCCCCCAAGCAGCAGAGCCAAGGGGCCCGCAGTCCCCCAAGCAGCAGAGGCAAGGGGCCCGCAGTCCCCCAAGCAGCAGAGACAAGGGGCCCGCAGTCCCCCAAGCAGCAGAGCTAAGGGGCCCGCAGTCCCCCAAGCAGCAGAGGCAAGGGGCCCGCAATCTCCCAAGCAAGGGGAACACTAATTCCTCCACACAGCAAATGCGAGAGAGCTGCAAGTCTCACAATACAGAAGGGGGGGAAGCTACGTGTAAACAAAGTAGCAGAAACGAAGACTGAGGCCACAAATCCCCCAAAGAGACCAAAAGTCCCCAAGCCAGTAGAGACAAGGAAGCCTCAACTCCTCTACATACAGCGGAGGTGAGGACCTGCAACTCCCTCAAGCTGAGGATAAAAAGGCTTCAACTCCCCCCTCGAGGGACAGTGGTAAGAAGGCCGTGATTTCCCCCGAGCCGCAACAGCAGCCATGATAGGCCGAGAGTTGGCGAGCCGCTCACATATGCCGTTGTCTTGTACACACATTAGAAAGAAAGGATAGGGTCAACTTGGTCTTTCTTTTAGTTACCCCTCGCCCTCTTCCCCAGTAGATGTGCTGTGGTGATGCAGCATATACACTGATGCGGCCATTCTTCTCTTTTTCCCCCTTTTCCTGTAATGTTTCGCGAATATATATTTAGATAAATGCATTTACTAAATACTAGTATTTGTATTTGTATTTAGCAAAATAATGATAATTTGCGTTGTTTTTTTAGCATTTGTGTATGCGTGTCAGTGTGTGTGTGAATGCGAGAATGTTTTAGTGTGTGTGTTAATCTTTGTAAATTTTTATTTCTCAATATTAGTAATGTCTGCCTTTTTCAGTGTCATTTCAGAATTTAAGTATAACAATCAAATCTTACAAGTTAAACTACCTTTAGATTTGCCCATTTTCTGAAACTGTATTAGATAAAAGCTACCGAGAAACTTGAGAATATGCAACTATCTTCCATTTCCTTGAAGTGTTCCTTTAGAATATGTTGTTCGCGAAACAGATGAAATAGGAGAATGGCCTAATTTAAAATAGTTTAGTACTGTAACTCAGCATTTTTACATGACCACTAATATTAAAGGAGGCGTTTCATGAGTAGGGGTTTCCTGTTTGAAAGCTGTTAAGCTATGATAGACCAGAGAGTCGACCATTTTTAAAGGATTGGAGGAAACTTGACAGTTCAGGCGAGCTGTTCACGTCTTGTCATGTTGTAAACCTCTGATTCAGGAGTATTGATGAAGCTGTCAAAGGTGTTCTCTGAGGAATGACGACAGATTCGTCAGGGAAGGTGAATCATCACCCTCCAGCTTCGCCACCTGTCAGCTGTGTGTGTGTGTGTGGTTGTCTCTGGACGCAGGCATCACGCCTTACAGACGCCGGCGACTGTACAAGAATTAATGTGTACCCACCTGTTCAACCCTGGATAAGTTTGGTGACTCATTAAGGTATCCATATGCTTTTATAACTCTATGAACATGTAAATTCTTGTGGTATTTTTTTTTTTTTAGGAATATTGTCCTTTTGGCAACTTTGGTTGCTTGTGCTGACCCCTATTTTGAATGCCAATCACTAATTTTCTTTGTGTTCTTTGCCAATTCCCAGAATTGATAAAGTGAAGGAAATCAATTGTGAGAGATTTTGATAAGTGTTATAGTTTGATTTTGCTGTTTTCGTACCTCGAATCAACACTAAAAAATATATAAATTTAAATATGTTTATCCTACAATTCTTTTTCCCCTTTTCGCCTAAGCTACTTAGGTTGCAGAATTTCCCCTTCTCCCCCCAAGTACAATAGTGGGTGCTGCTACTCAGTACTCACTCATTGTCAGCAATAAAGCACATGCTATAATAATTCGTGTCGATATGCAGACGAGGAGTCACAATAACGTGGCTGAAATATGTTGACCAAACCACACACTAGAAGGTGTAGAGACGACGACGTTCCGGCCCATCCAGGACCATTCTCAAGTCGACGGTCACACTTTCTAAGTGTGTGTGGTTTGGTCAACAATTCGTGTCGCTTGAAGGAGGGAAATGATTGATGATTAGTGATGATTATGTGAGCGGTAGACAGCTGCTAAGGCTTCCCATGTCTATAAGAATCATTGTACATTATAGCTTAGTGGAAGCCAAAAAGTGATACCAACTGCACCTCTCTCATTCATGACAATTTCTGGGAAAAATATGCTAAAAAAATTTAGTTTTTCATGAAACTTATTGAGGGCCAATATAAATAACTTATGACACTTTATTCTCGTATTAGGAGATCCAAACTTCAAAGAATTATTTGAGCTGGTCTCCAGCGGTCTCCAGCCTATCTCTCAAGATGTCATTCAGGATCTGTTGGTTAGCGGTGGTCATCTTTATATACAGTACTGTGTTAAGTGTACGTTATTATAATGAATGTTTTGTAACAGTTGGAAAGTAAAAATTGTTACGACCTCTTTTGTTTCACTGGTTTCCTAATATCCATCAATCTGTTTCTTAAACAAAATGAAATGGTAACAGTTTTAAAACTGGATCAATAGAGGATTTGCACAGTTTAAAACCATTAACCACGCACATTCCCTCTCCTGATGCTTCCTTATTTACTCACTATTCGGAAGTAATTGCACTCTCAGAAACCAAACTGTCAGGAGTCATAAATAAATGCAGCAATCCTCCAATTGTTTCCATATAATGAGTACATTAGAATGGGAAAATGGAGAGTTCCTCTAATGATCAGGACTGGAGATTTGGGAGATAGTAATTCCTAATTCATCATTGATTGATGAAGATTAAGCCACCCAAGAGGTGGCACGGGCGTGAATAGCCCGTAACATGGCCTAGATACACATGACCTAAATATTAGGGAAGAGCAACGGCAAATTGTCTAAGCCAAGACCACAACAGATCGACAAGAATGAGGGTCAGTGATTGTTCTTATCTGTTTCGACATTTGCCTGCAAGCAGCAGCCGTGAGGACAAAAATCCTGGTTCTTTGGCTCAAGAACAATGACAAAATGTTCATGTTCATGTTAACTGTTCATGTTCATGAGCTTAACACCTGTTGTGTCCACACACCTAATGGTCGTTATCACTTGTATAACAGCAGTTATTGGAGACAACAGTAACAGTGGGAATGAGCTTGAGTTACAGGCTGGACATTACCTCCGATCCCATACTATAAAAGATAGAGCATACTAGTATTTATTGCGAGGGAGGAATAGCATCTGATGAATATATACAAATATTGACATGCTGTTGAAAATGAGGATAGAGAGGTATGGCGTTCTACAGTAGAGTGCTGGACTTGGGTTTTAACGAGGGCATTCCTTCGCGACCCCTAACTGACTGGCCACATCAGTCAATGTTTCACGGCGGTCACCGTTAGTCTGTTGGCTCTCTCTCCACTGGACACATGGCGGTCCGTTACTTACTATACAGTGCCAGGAGGTAACGTGAGGATAGTCACTACAAACCTGGGGCCAGATTCACGAAAGCACTTACGCCAGCACTTACGAACCTGTACATCTTTTCTCAATCTTTGTCGGCTTTGTTTGCAATTATTAAACAGTTAATGAGCTCCGAAGCACCAGGAGGCTGTTTATAACAATAACAACAGTTGATTGGCAAGTTTTCATACTTGTAAACTGTTTAATAAATGTAACCAAAGCCGTCAAAGATTGAGGAAAGATGTACACGTTTGTAACTGCTTTCTTGAATCTGGCCCCTGGGCTTCAGTATCCTCGTCCGTTCTCATTTTTGTCTACAAGGAAGGTAGAGATGGTTACGACGCTGGCAGTTATACACGACTTCAGGTAATTACCAATTACGCAGTTTTCAGTCTCCCTTCAACGGTAAACAAATCCACAAGGGCCGTGACCAGGATTCGAACCTGCGTCCGGGAGCATCCCAGACACTGCCTTAATCGACTGAGCTACGACAGGGTATCCCTTTAACGGTATTTATGCGGGGCCCACTCGTCTCGGATGGACGGTAGAACGACGGTCTCGCTTCATGCAGGTCGGCGTTCAATCCCCCGACCGTCCAAGTGGTTGGGTACTATTCCTTATCCCCCGTCCCATCCCAAATCCTTATCCTGACCCTTTCCCAGTGGTTTATAGTCGTAATGGCTTGGCGCTTTCTCCTGTTCCCCTTCGTCTCGATCGAGCAGCTGTCTCCATAAAATATTTCCTTCTTAACACATAAGCGCGAGACTACTACCATTTAATCTATTTAATCTTTATTTAATTATTTAATCTTTAATAATCTCCGACTGAAAATAAAGATGGCTGACCTGGAACCAAAGCAAAATGGTCGTAAACGGAAAGCTTATAAGAGCGTCATAAAACAAGTGAGTCAGCACGTCCTCGCATTCAAAGATCCAAGTTCGTTAATCCAGTCGCCAAACCCGCTGTTTCAAATCAAATCAATATTTATTCAGGTTTATGAATGGAAAAAAGTGTTACACACGACTCACAACTGATGACGTCCGAACACTTCCGGAACAAGTGCTTCGCTCACGTCCTCTGTTCGAACCACAGTTCTATAAACAGCCCGTCCTCCAAACAAAGATCCAAAAGTGATTCCATGCACCCGCCAAACCCCCTGTTTATGAATGAAAAGCGGTTTACACACGACTCACAACTGCTGACGTTCGAACATATCCGGAACAAGTGCTTCACTGACGACTTATGTTCGAACCACAACGCTGTAAATGCTTCACCTTCGTACTACAAATACAAATAATCGCCAACAGAACCTAAACACCTAACCTAACCTACGCCAAACTATATATAAAATTTGTATGTATAATATTAACTTGTATATGAGAACAAACCAATTTTTAATACAGTATGTTAAAATTAATGAATGCTTCTAAGTGAATGCTAAGCAAGTGAAAGACTTACCTACCTAGACTAATTTCGCATCCCTCGAATGACACTATAGGGAGAATGGTTGAACTTTTAAGAAATAAAGACTGCTTAAAGACTTATATAAAAGACTTTGACTGCTACTTTTGTGTCGCGGGGAAATGCTTCACACATGCAGATGGTAAGGTTAACAAAGTAAAGTGCTCGTGTAAATTATCCCTGACAATATAGTACGAATGTTACTATGATTTAACCATACCAAACTACTTAAACTGAGTCGGATGGTGATGCAAGTATCACAGACATACTGGGGTATGTGTCTTAACAATACCCAAATAACACTGATACAGAATTAGACCACAGGAACGTTATGAATCTATGGGAAAAATAGACCGTGCCACGGGATCGCTCTCTCTCTCCTGGGCCTCCTCTCTAGGGAGAAGAGTTCCATCCCATTATGCAGCCTCAAATTTTCTCGCTACATGTAATTTGTGACTAGATCTTGCTTCCATTGTCTTGTCCAAAGAAGTTGTCTTGTTACAGGCAATGAGTCACAATAACGTGGCTGAAGTATGTTGACCAGTCCACACACTAGAAAATGAAGGGACGATGACGTTTCGGTTCGTCCTGGACCATTCTCAAGTCGATTGTCGACTTGAGAATGGTCCAGGGACTTGCTCGAAACGCTACGCGTACTAGTGGCTGTACAAGAATGTAACAATTCTTGTATATATCTCAAAAAAATAAATTGAAGTTGTATCAAATTTGCCCGCTGCATCAATGCTTATTTATTTATTTATTTATTGTTATGTCTGTGAGAAGACATTACCATTACTTGTGCAAGAATTTAATAATTGATGGAGTATGCTAACAACACTGCAAACCAAACATGACAGGGCAGATCTCATAGAAACCTTTGGAACCACCTACCCGCCGAAGCCGTAAACGCCAAAACTCTTCTGGGTTTTAAAATACAACTGGAAAAGATCATTAGGGCAAATGGCCGGGGGGGGGGGCCTTTGACAAGACGCAGGCTTCCTGTCCTCGTCGAGGCCACTAGTATTAGTGGACCTCGGGTAAATTTAATAAAGCCATCTAGACGCAAAGCGTTTCGGGCATAACTTAAAAAACAGTTCATCTGCTTAAAATACAGATTAAAACAAATTAAAGGTTTGAAAAGGTAAACAATACTAAATCGAAAGCAAGCTGTCTTCTAGCAAACCAAATTGCAATTTATTATTACTATTAAAATGAGTGAATGGAATATTATTACTATTATTAATTATTTTAGTTTATTTGTAACTTGAAAGCGGTGGAATGTAGGCAACTTGAGATAAGCGACCGTGTTTGTAAACAAGCTGTCGACATTCCTGAGTGTCAGAGCCAGGTCCGTCGTCGCCCTCAGCTTGCTTTACTTCACCTCTGTGACTTGGCCCAGTTAAAAATAGAATTAGATAAATAAAGGAACGACGGCAGTAATCGGCAACGAAGAACAGCAGTTAACTTTGAAAGGTTATCAGCAGTTATATTGAAAAATAGAATTTCCAGTGTATTCGTTATGGCAGACGAAACGCTGGCAAAGGCTGGTCTCTACTTTGATGAGCTTAATAAGATCAGAGTCTTGGAACCAGAAGTTGCAAACCAAACAACAGAACTTAAAGATGAATGCAAAGAATTTGTGGACAGTAAGTCGTATTACGTTGTGATTTCAGTGTATTTATTTCTGGAAAATATGAGTATATAATAATTGTAGTTACCTAAAGGTAAAATAGGTTACAATATAACTAAAACAAGACTTATAAGAACACATTATAAACATAGATCCCTAAAGATCGTGGTCTCAGTGCTGTACTGTTTAATTCAGGGTCTGGGCAGTACAGTTGTTTGTTCTCGACTCGCGGTTGGGACTCCCAGGTTCAAATCTCGGGTGGGACAGAAATGGTTTGGCACGTTTCCTATCGCATAATGCCTCTGCTCATCTAGTAGATTCCCACAAGTTAGTCCGCTGCTATTGGGTTGCATCCTGGGGAGGGTCAGTGACATGACCTTTGGGGACCTTGATATTAGCTTAACATGCATGCATACACAGGCTGGCTGTCCCCAACCAAAAAAAATTTAGTTGTCACTTCACAGCTTCACTACATTACAGTATTAACAAAATTGGTTTTGTGCAGCACCCTATGGGCCAGTATAGGTTAGACAATGGTTGTCTAGGTTACCAAATACATTGTATTAAATAGAAAAATCCCTTACAATAATCAAAACACAAGTGGACTATAGTACAGTATGTGATTTTGATTGGGTTGATACTTTCCCCAAAGGATTCTGTATGACACTGCTGTGTGCAGTTTCTTAGTAAGAGTTAAGACTTCGATGGTCAGTCCTGTTACCTGCACGTAACCTCAGTTCTTGGTTATTTTCACCTCGTGTGTTTGTTCGAAATGTGCTTTGATTTTTTAAATAATTAATAAGTGTGTCCATTTTATCAAGATGTTTTCTTTTTAAATTCAAAGTCCTGATGGTTTTTACAATGAAAATTAGCTCATGCATAAGACACAAAGGTTGTTTTGGTTCAAGTGTACTGTACATTCAATGGAAACCATATGACACTCACCCTTCCAGATACTGTCTACATATCTTTTTCAGCCATCATTATTAATGATAGGAGGGATATGGAAAATATAATAAGCAAGTAATGTTTTGTGCGGTTTTGAAGTTCAAATGATTATCACAACATCATTACCATTAAACCTTTAAATATCTCCACACAAATTAAGAAACATAACCAACTACCACAATTGCTGTTCAGAAACTGCCAGATGTTGGGCATCGTATACACAATGACACATTTTAAACATGTTGCAAACTAAAAAAAAAGGACATGAATTTGGAATGAATAAGTAGGTTAAAAATGAAAATCTCTGTTTTATAATTTACAAATCATGTTTATAGAAAAAAAATTTCTTATATAATTAATATAATTAATATATCTTTTCCCTACTGGTTCTTCAGCTCAACTATTGCCGCCATTGAGAATGCCTGCTTTATATCCTTGGCAAGTTTAGATTAATGTTTTTTATAATTTCAGAAATTCGTGACTTTCACGAACGAGCTGACCATTTCATTCAAGTTGCCGACACTCTGAGTGCAGCTGTGGAATCGGAAAAAATGAGAGCTATTGGGTCACGAAATTTGATCAAAAGCATGAGCAAGCAGCGAGAGGCTCAGCAGCAACAGTTGCTGGTAGGTGCAAGTTGCTGTCATATTTGTCAACCTTTGAGTTAAGGCCCCTTAGATACTTATTGAGCTAAAACCAATATGTTCCACACAGGACTCTCTTCTTGTGATAGGCTCTTGTTGACCCATTCCTCACCTATAAGCAATTTTGCTTATAGGCGATTTTTGCTTCAAAGTGCTACATTTTGGAAAAAATAGACCTTGGAGAATTGGTTTTGGGAAAATCCAGGGATAAGGGGGGAAACTGCATAATCCAATTCTGGTAGATATCGATCATATAGCACATTGAATTAAAGATGGGAGGGGTCATTGAAATGGGTAAAAATTTTGACATTATAGTCAGGGGGAAGGTAAGGAAGAGATCCAAGTATAAAGTAGAGATCAAAGGGATGACCAGTAAAAGCAGACATATGCGGGGGAACAAGAGACATAGCCGTCCTCGTAGGAAGAGGGCTAGATGATGGGAGGATTAAACGTAGGACAGGGAAAGTGAACTAGAGAACCATTCTGGTGAGCAATGGCAAGTATAATTCAGTATAAATAAGAATATTCCAGGTGAAGACAATGAAGTGTGGATATTAAAGGGAAATTTGAAGTATAATGCCAGTAGAAGAGAGGGGGGGGGGCACTGGGCAGCCAAGTCTTTCTCGATTTATGTTTGTGTACTTTTAACCCGATGATTTACACATCCATAATAACCACCAAGTGAACTCTGTGGATACTTGTTACTTTTAACCCCTCCTGGATTGGCACATTTGGTACAGCCCCTTCTCAGGAGCCTGATGCCCCGCCTTGCTACTTTGTCCTGCATTGGTGAGACCCTGGTTTGGGTCTCCAAAAATACTTAGTTAAATGCCAGTATTGGCACAGTCATTCTTCTGTACTATGTTGAGACTGGTGGCTTCAAAGACTGCCATCAGGATATTAAATGCATCCGCAATGCCCAAAAAGGCTATTTAATCCTCCAGAGTGTTTACTCTGCCCCCTCAAGGTCATTGTCATGTGTCCCCTCAAGTAGTCAAGATGACTTTTGATAATCGGATCCTTCTGTCTTCCAAAATTCTTGCCAGTGCCAGGTGCTCCATTAGGGAATATAGTACATCCCTTCTCCAAGCCTATGCAATAGGAGTTGGAAATTTGGATTAGTGATTTTTTTGTTTTTTTCCTTTCTCTCTCTTTTTTCTTTTGTGGAGACCCTGGTAGACAGTTACTGCCTACCAGAACTGCTAAGACAGTTTTGTCCCCAAGCTTGCTGCATTAACTGCAGTGAGGCCTATCCTGCCTTCTCCCACACGTGCAAATATACACTTCACACACTTTATAGAGCCCGAAATAAATATAGCTGTATACCAAACTTTCCTAGGCCTAGTATAGCACATAGTATATGCACTATATTAGGCCTTGGATGGTTAGGTTTTATTAGCACTAGAAAACCTTTCCCAGTTTGTCCAAATTCTTTAGAACCAAATTCTACTTCCTAATTGTCCATGATGTCAACATATGTATGATGGTGCTTATAGTTACAGAAAATGCTATCTAAAGATGAGGATGGGTTGGGTAATGAAGCAAGGATACTAGTTTCGTAATTGGACAGTTTTTATGCTGCTTCTTTTGTTTACACTGTCGAATAACTTTATTTATGTATACATAATTGACAAAAAATATTGTAGGCCTGGAGACGATACTCGGTGTAATAGGTACACCAATACTGCAGATAAACTTGCTCTTAGCTCTGCTCAAAGGACTTAAGTCTTGCATCCCCACTACATTACCAGGTGGAATACCAGCAAAGAAGTCAAGGAATGTATTCAAACAGTAGGAAATGCCAAATTGTGATTCGCTAATGGCCTCACTGCAAAGTAACCAAGTACAAAATAGCGGAATTTGTTCCTGGGTCTTGGTTAACTCCATTACATCCATATAGATGTTTTATAACCATACAGTATTTACATTTGCATAAAAATGTATTTGCGTCTGTTTTTTTTTAAAGAGCGCTGTTTGTCGACAGAATTGTATTTGTGCTGCTTTTTCAGCTATGTTTTCATTTCATGTTTTCATTTTACTCTTTATGCTCAATTAGTATTAAGCTTTAGTCATTTAAGTTTTTCATGCCCGAAACGCTTTGCGTAATAGTGGCTTTAGGCATTGTATGTACTAGCTCTATCTATAAGTCCACCAATCTTTGTAAAAATTTCTTGTATGTATGTACCTTACCTAAATAAACATTTATTTATTTATTTATAAAAATGGGGCAATAATAACAAACTGGCAAATGCCTATAACCACATTGGCCCTTGGATCAACATTAAATAAACATTCTCTTAAGAATTAAATATTTTTCAAAATTATTAAATACTTTGCCTTGTCATGAATATTAGAAATAGCTTAAATACACAGTGAAATTGCAAGAATATAATATACAGTATGATAAAATATTATTGGCAAAATATTTTTTCGGCTTAATCTGTTTATATAATTTTGTTTCTGTACAATATCATAATGCCTGAAACTTTTTAACTTTTTAACTGCCTTGCCCAAAACGCTATGCGTACTAGTGACTTTAGGTATTGTATGTACTAGCTCTATCTATAAATCAATCAGAATGTTTGTAACTGCATCTATGTACAGTATGTACTTTTCCTAAATAAAATATTATTATTATTATTATTATTATAATTATTATTATTGTTTTCTTTGCAGGCCTTGATTGGAGAAAAGAAACTAGAGTTAGAGAGATTGCGTGTCCAATACGAATCACTTCAACGCACAGAGGCTGAGCAGCTTGAATTTATAGAGCAGTTTATAATGCAGAAGTGAAATTAGTGTTCAAAATGATTTGTACTCCACATAGCTTAGACAATGGTGAGGCTATATTTGCCCTGGGTGCATCTTGTACATTACCTTTTCATTTTAAATTACCATCAATGAAATAAACACAGTGTCTGAGGTAGAGCCAATGCACTCCATGTGGGATTTAGTTTTCTGGTGGGAGCTCCTTTTGACTCCCTGAAGGAAGTCTGCCTCCAAGGTACTCTGATAGTGTACCATCTGGAGGTAGACTTCATACAGTTTCAAATGTAACTATGACAGAGCCCAATAGGCTCAGAAATCTGTACACAAATTGACAGTCAAGAGGCTGGACCAAAGAGCTGAAGTTAAACCCCCACCCCCCAGCAAGCACAACTAGGCGAGCAACTACTAAGTTGCATCAGCTGAAGAGTTCTATTGGCCTAACGGAAACTAGCACCAGAACCTGGCCCCCTGACGGACACGGAGTAATATTTATGCCATCGCCGGGAAAGGCAACCAGAAAGTAGACGTGACAAAACACTGATGCTGCTGGCTCCAAACATGACCACAGCCTCGACCACAGACCACAGCCTAAGAGTTCCCATCATTCGTTTGTGGGAATGGGAGAGGCAGCTCAAGGTCAGTCAGCGTCTCCACCCTCAGTTCTATGCTGATGTAGTACAGTATGTGCCTGGTTGCATCTTCTGCTCTTGCTTCAGTGTTCTGCTATTCAGCTAAGTGTTGATTTTTTGCCCTTGTTAGCGGGAGAGCCGGCCGGCCGAGCGGACAGCACGCTGGACTTGTGATCCTGTGGTCCTGGGTTCGATCCCAGGCGCCGGCAAGAAACAATGGGCAGAGTTTCTTTCACCCTATGCCACTTGTTTACTAGCAGTAAAATAGGTACCTGGGTGTTAGTCAGCTGTCACGGGCTGCTTCATGGGGGTGGAGGCCTGGTCGAGGACCGGGCCGCGGGGACACTAAAGCCCCGAAATCACCTCAAGAAAACCTCAAGTCCCTGTACATTGTAGCATGAGACAAGAGTTTAAAGTTCCCAGAGTTATCTTTCTTATGCATCCCCTAATGCATAAGGGGATGCTTCTCCTTCTGCTAGGGTTTTCTTCCCTGGAGTGTTCAGGAGTTGCTCACTCAAAGATCTTAAATTGTGGTGGCCCTCACCCATGGTGTGTTAGGTGTCTTGGGGCTTTCCCGTTTTCATTTGGGTCGTCGGCTGGCAGAGTACACTGGGTATTTGTGTGCTACAATATAGCACACAGAGGTCGGCATTCACAGTCATGTGGCCAGAGCTGTGTTGGCCTTGTCTTTCTATAAGAGTTTTGTATTCTGTGCCCACATAGAATAGGATGATACCCTTCAACTAAAGGTCCTGATTAACATCCCAATTCTTTGGTGTCCTGCTTGGTGTATTCCTTCAGGCCACGGAAATCCCCTGCAGGTTCAATGGTCGGTTAGATATTCCTCCAAATTTGCTCTTGGTTTGTGAGTTTTAAGTGTTGTATGTCATTTATGCCACATGGTAACATTCGTTCCTTCTGCCTCCACCGTGCTGCCTGTTGGGTCAGTGACACCTTCAACCCTGAGTCCTGTTGAGATTTGTTATTCCCATATAACTTCCTTGTGATCCTGCCCCGTTGATGGTTAGGGACTCTGAAATAGAGGTGTTTTATAACTTCTACCTTGGTCAGTCTACCTTGGTCTAACATCTGCCCCATCTCTTTCTTTCCCTGCTGGCAGGGCTTGCCCTTCTTCTGATCCTCTACCCTGTTTTGGGACTGGAGGCATCTGAGGGATTGCTGGTTGGGATGGGTTTATCTTTACGTGTGACTTGGGTAACTCCAGGGGGATACCCATTCAGATTCGGATCAGAGGTAGTTGAGCCTGCTCATCCTACTGGGACTTCGAGGCCTTCCTTCCAGCTAGCCGAAGGAAGTAGTTCCCTTGGACTCTGCTTTTCTATCTCGGATAGTGGACATGGATGCCGCTCTACCCAGAGCCTTTGACTGCCACATCTGGGGCTTGGTGGTGGTAGGGACCCAGGGGGTTTGGACACCCCCACCCCCACCCCTGGGTCCTTTTCAACTCTACCTTGTTCCATCTCAAGGTTCCATCGGAACCTTGTACCGTCTCCTTTGCAGGGGGTGGGTTTTCATATCCCCCTCTCTGTGTTCATATTATTTGGGTACAGCTCACCCTTCTTATCCACCTTCCTCCCTGGGTTTGTTTCCACATGCCTTGGGGCATGCCAGGACTCCAAAGAGATTTCCAGAGATTCCTGCTTCTCAGGTCCTGCCTAAGGCAACTCGTCCTTTCCATGTCTCCTGCATGGCTTGTGCCTTATTGCTGGACCCTGCCTCTTTTGTATTTGTGTATTCTTCTTGGATGCATTATGAGGGGCCCAGAGTCTTTCTGGGAGATGATCTCTTATTCTCGCTTGGGGCAACTTTTGTTGGTCCAGCATGCCTCGGTGATGTGGGTGTCAACCATATTACTGGGGTTTCTGGGGCTCTTCTTTCATGCTTCTCCCTGACTACCTGTTCTACCAGAGCTCTGGCAGTCCGGTATTTTGTTCCCAGACCCTGGCGCCTATGTGTGGCTATGGGTCGTGTCACTCGGCCAGGTGTCTCATTTTTGTTTTCCTGCAGAGCTCCTCCTCCCTGGTTAATACTGGACCCGTTTTACCTTCTGGGCCTCCTCCCAAACATTGAATGCATTGAAATGTCAATTTCTGGGTGAGCCCTGGTAGCTCTTGACAGACGCCCTCGCTCCCTCCATATCATGGGGTTGTTACATCCATCACAGAAAATGAAGATGCCAGATGACCTTAAAGCTACCTCCTCCCTTCCATCCTCCCTAAACAAGGTGGGGAGGGGGGGGCAAATAAGCTTGCATTAGTTTCATAAATGATCATTTAATGCAGCTGATGCAACCTACTAGATGGTACACTATCAGTGATAGCTTCATTGGCACTTCATTACATACAGTACTCATTTGATCCACTAGGACCCTATCGACCAATTTTATTTTATTTTTTTTTCATTAATTTGCATTGTGTTGTAATGTACGAGTATCAAAATGATGCTTGCCTACTTTACTAGTCGGTGCATATTTTTTCCATAACCACCAACATTAATTAAGTGAATATAAAATACTTTTCTGACCAATGGTGTTGCCATTGGTGCATAAATGGAAATGCAGCTCCATTTTAAAAATTTGCTTAAAATGAATTTATTTTACAGTTTTTTTGACAAAATAGTTTGCCATTGATAGTTATATTGTATGTAACAATACAATATAATTATTCACAAAGAACATGTAATGCAATGACCAAGTTGTTGTATGTACACTAAATGTGCAGCATGGCAGGTATGGTAAAAAAAAAAATGATAATTATGCAATTTTTTTTATTTTACCCGATTCATACAAGAGTAATTATTAGCAAATTACTGTGTTTGCATGTGACGATTTGGTGTGCATACATTATACAATCAATATCTTCACAAGTGCCTCATGGCAGGTGCAGGTTGTTTGTACTTGTCTTCATTAAATTTCCTGCTCCATGCATATATATTTCTTCCCTTCAACACCATGACTGCAGCTGGAGATTTTTAACACGGCAAATACTGATTTTGAACAAAATATTGTTTGCAAAAGAAACCAGCTTTGGTCCTGGAGATGGTGTACCTGGAGTGGTAGATGGCTGGAATAAGTTAACCGAGTAGTTGGAGGCCAAAACAGTCTGTTTCAAAGCGTTATAAGACAGAGTACTGGGAAGACCGGACACCACGAGCGTAGATTTCATTCTTTAAGCACACTTGGGTAATTACATGAATCGTTGAAAATAAAACTCTGAGAATCTAGAAGCTGAGCTACTTAGAGTTCAGCTCCAGAGGGGAGAAAGGATTAAAGCACCCTCCATGATTCAGAAAATGAACTACTGAATGTCAGTCAGAATGGAGCTCGATAACAAAGCGCCAAGAGAGGGAGATCTTGTGCAAGGCCACAAACTTGTGCACCATACTGTGCATCTGAAGGAGGGGACTTGCCTAACAACTGCGGTAGCCTTGGTGAGCACTGGTCACAAAACCACAACCCAGAGCAAAAGCTCTGGCCTGTATACGCCTCGAGTGATGGAGGAGGAAGGTGCTATGGAACAGATCCCTGGAAAGTGTAAAGATGAAACCAGCAAACCAAATTTTGGCAAAGGGCAGATGGAAGGGAGAGAGGTTGGGGGGAAGAAAAGAAACGAGGGATAATAGGATGGGGAGAAAAAAAGGTCACCATTAGGAAGGTCATCAAGGACCCACCACATTAGGTTAGTGAAAATAGAGGAGGAGGAGGAGCAGAGGAAAAGATGAATAAAAGAAAGTGAGTCAACACAAGTTAGCTCACCCGAATTCAAGAGAAACAAGGTTGAAGAGAGGACAAAAGGTTTTAAAAAGATTACTTCAGGTATTAATGAATATCGCCCCAGAGACATGCTGACAGTTAAAAATTCCTTAAAAGAGCAGCATAGACTCTAGTAAAAATTCTAAAAGGTACTTGTAAAAGTTCAGGAAGAGATCAGAATGTGTGGAGAAAGATTGAACAGATGGTTCTCATTATCTGGATAAGTGGTATACTGTCTGTATATCACTTCCGAAGAAGTGGTAGTGGAATGGATGTTAGGTTATAAAATGGGAACATTCTGTATTAAAAGTTAGTATAGCTAGCAACACCAGGAGGTGAAAATGGCAAAAAATAATAGAAGAAATGACCTGGATAAGTACCAAGCAATAGCTCCTGGAGACTTGCACACAGCCAGATCTAGGGAGTTCTGGTAGCTGAGCGGACAGCGCGCAGGACTCGTAATTCTGTGGCACCGGGTTCAATTCCCAGACCAGGCAGAAACAAATGGGTAAAAGTTTCTTTCATTCCTGATGCCCCTGTTACCTAGCAGTAAATAGGTACCTTGGGAGTTAGACAGCTGTTACGGAGCTGCTTCCTGTGTGTTCAAGTTCAAGTATGTTTATTGAGATAAGCAAGAAATACATCTCAATGCGATAATTTTTTAATGAAAGCTTGCAAATAGCTTTTTTCTCGTATTCTAAGTAATGTTGAAACTATAAAAAAAAAGGTGAAAAATCTGTTACCTATCATATGCTTTAGCTTACATGGCCACCATTTTCGGAACTTCCGTTAGTATTAGCTGACCAATCTCGGAAGAGATTACAACCTCTGAAGGCTTTGGCATGCTGTGGAAAGGGAGTGGGAGTCCCTGTGCTACGAATGTTATACTTGAGTACTGTAAGATCTCTTATTGATTATGCTGCACCTGTCATTTCTTGTTTTGGTAAAGGTAGGATGGGCAAGTTGGAGAAGGTACAAAATGAAGCAATGAGAATTATCTTAGGATGCCCAAGAAATGCTATGATTGAGATAATGAGGATGGAGTTGAATCTGCAGAGTATTGGGGATAGAATTTCAGAGATAAATGTAGCCTCTGCCATTAGATTAATGAGAGGTGGGGGAGCTAATGAATTAATCCTCTCGGTTCAAAAGGTGGGAAGTAGTGAACAGTGTATGATGAAGAAGAGAGTATATATGAATAAATTATGTTATAATGTTATAAAGTATGATGTTATTACAGAGTGTATTGCTGTGCCCAAGAGAAAATTGACACCACCATGGGAGGATTGTAATGTAGATGTAGTAATTACTCCCTTGCATAAGAAAAAATGTATGAAATAGGAGAGCTGAGGGCAACATATGATTGTATAATTAGAAAACTGCCTACGGAAAACACTCTACATGTATATTGTGATGGGTCAGTAGCTAGGGATGGGAAGGCAGGATGTGGAGTCTTGATCAGGGAGTACACTGACATCGGCACTGTAGATACTCAAGTTCAAGTTCAAGTATGTTTATTGAGATAAGCAATAAATACATCTCAAAGGGATAGAGTAGCTTAGGCTATTTCTACCCCCCTCTACTTCAAGTCCCTCAAGGGGCGCACAAATTCAGTGAGTACAAATAGACATATAACAGTACAAGAATCCCATTTAACATTGCATACAGCAAGTACAGCATATAATTGTTATATTCTTGGGGCAAAATTCTTGTAGCTCCTAAGTATACTGTCTATTATACCATTATCACACATCCAAACAATTTGATGTGGTACACTATTTATTTCCTTATTTCTATATTTTTCAATAAGGTGACACTCTAATACATAATGTTCTAAGGTGTGGGCGTACGTCATACTACATAATTTACACTCCTTATCTTTTTCACTGACATCAACACCGTATTGCCAGATATATTTATATCCTAACCGTAATCTCATGTAAATTGAATCCTTCCAAGTAACTTTCCTTTACCATAAGTGAAGGACGAATTTGTATTTATTATTGAATAATTCTTAAGTGTGTTACTACTGTCCACCATTGCCATTCTCTTTATCATTTCTTCACCCTCCTGAACCACCTTGAGTCTTGTTTTTATTTGTTTCAAGGTTAACTGACATACAACATCAACAAGAGTTTTTTTCAGATCAGAGTTTTTTCAATAAAGGGGATGTTTTCACATCCCCTTTATTGCCACGTACGCTCTCCGTTAGCCCAACTTGCGACATCTATTATATATGGGAAAAATCATGAAAAGTATCATTTTTAATTAAAAGGCCTTCCCTGTTCTCAGTTTGGATTTAACCTTATTAGCTGTCTAAAAATCGAAGCGCATATAAGGAATTCTAAACAGTAAAATACATTTACTAATGTATAACCTTAAAACTTTAATAATTCAAGTCACAAGTTTATGGCTATTAATATCAGTTGAAATGACACTAAATAACTACTGTACCTTAAGAGCATTTTTGAAATGATATGTAGCACGATCTGTGTCTTTTCCAGCACGCTTAGTGAAGAGTAACACCTTCTCGTACAGAAAAATGTGTCTCTGAGCAGGTTTGAGCCGTAGCTCTCTCAGTCCCTTGTTGCTCTCGTTCCACACGCTGAAGGGGCCCTGCATGAGCAACTTACCGAGGTCTGCAAAGTTACCCTGGAAGATGATGCAAGAAAAATGTATTACGTACAATGAAATCACTAGAACGTGATGTATCCAAGAGAATACTGAAGCTGTAGGACTGAACAAGAATTGTATTAAAATCACAGAAATTACTACAAAGAATAAGAAAAAATCCTTTAAAATGGAGTATTGACAATGAATGAATGATCCTAAAGAAATAACCCAATATTTCTTTAGGATAAACTTTCAAGAAAAATACAAACCGAAAGTCGCTCTTCTAATTATTCTGTACTCAACCAGGATCACGTTCAATATTTACATACTAGTTTATTGACTACCTAATCATTCCTAAACAGCTGCAAACTTTCATATACAGTACTTATTGCCTGTAATTGCTGCAGTACACATAACATCCTCAGATATTTAACCCACAAGAGCTACGAGGAGAGGTTAGAGGCATTAGATATGCCAATACTATACTAGAAGACAGAAGAAACAGAGGCGATATAATCACTACATACAAAATAGTAATGGGTATAGATAAAATTGATAGGGAAGAAGTCCCAAGACCTGGAATTTCACGAACAAGAGATCACTGATTTAAACTAAGCAAAGCTGCCAAAGAAACGTAAGAAAATTCACTTTCACAAACAGCATGGTAGACGGTTGGAACAAGTTAGGCAAGGTGGTGATGGAGGTCAAAACAGTCAGTAGTTTCAAAGCGTTATATGACAGTGTTGGCTAGACGGGACACCACGAGTGTAGCTCTCATCCTGTAACTACACTTACGTAATTAATTATTTCCCTGTGTGTTACTCTTGAGAAACTTGACGTCCCTTACAGGATATTGAATACAAGATTTCTAAGCTACACATGGCCATTTTACTCCCTATAATATGATTATTAATAATTATTTTGGTTTCACTCTAAGAACTAGCAAAAAGTAATTTTTCTTCAATGGAGCTTCAGTACCCTTTCAACTCCTCCCCCCCCTCTCCTTCCCCCCCCCCCCCACACACACACACACACACACACAGTCAGTAGTTTCAAAGCGTTATATGACAAAGAATGCTGGGTAGACGGGACACCACGAGCGTAGCTCTCATCCTGTAACTACACTTAGGTAATTACACACGCACACACACACACACAAGAGGCAATGTATCGGACTGGAGAAATGTCAAGTGGAGTACCACAGGATTCAGTTCTTGCACCAGTGATGTTTATTGTGTACATAAATGATCTACCAGTTGGTATACAGAATTATATGGACATGTTTGCTGATGATGCTAAGATAATAGGAAGGATAAGGAATTTAGACGATTGTCATGCCCTTCAAGAAGACCTGGACAAAATAAGTAGATGGAGCACCACTTGGCAAATGGAATTTAATGTTAATAAATGTCATGTTATGGAATGTGGAATAGGAGAACATAGACCCCACACAACCTATATATTATGTGAGAAATCTTTAAAGAATTCTGATAAAGAAAGAGATCTAGGGGTGGTTCTAGATAGAAAACTATCACCTGAGGACCACATAAAGAATATTGTGCATGGAGCCTATGCTATGCTTTCTAACTTCAGAATTGCATTTAAATACATGGATGGCGATATACTAAAGAAATTGTTCATGACTTTTGTTAGGCCAAAGCTAGAATATGCAGCTGTTGTGTGGTGCCCATATCTTAAGAAGCACATCAACAAACTGGAAAAGGTGCAAAGACATGCTACTAAGTGGCTCCCAGAACTGAAGGGTAAGAGCTACGAGGAGAGTTTAGAAGCATTAAACATGCCAAAACTAGAAGACAGAAGAAAAAGAGGTGATATGATCTGTGACGGTAAAGCGTTGGTGTTCGGCTGTTTCAAAAGCTAGGAGCAGGGCCTCGTCACATTAAAGAAAAAAAAGAGAAAAAGCTGGAACTTTCGTCTGTGGTAAGGTAATGGGAAGACACACAAAACACAAGTAAATTTAACAATGAAATTTTAATTACGTTAGAAAAACAAGACATGAATAAAATTAAGCATAAAATATACAAGACAAGTCAACAAACAAAATAATAAGAATAATCACTGGCAAATGAAAAGTTACGTTAAGACAAGTGAGTTATAGCAAAATAAATAATAATGATGCTGGAATATTGGCTTCGAGCTGCCACCTCCCTTAGTACACGAAAGCCAAGGCTTAGTCTACCAATGAGAGATGTCAACTGCAAGGAGCACTGGAATATTCCGACTATTCTGGGCCACTGCAGCCCAGACAGCAACTTGTGGCGGAGGGTGGAGGGCAGGTGCGACGGGACACCAGCCAATCCTACCTTACTGACAGGCTCCAATATGTTTCTGTGAATAATACAATTTCTCCCACCCTACCCATCAACATTGGTGTTCCTCAGGGCAGCATACTTGGCCCTCTCCTCTTTCCCATCTACATTAATGACCTTCCAAATGCCTCCCAACACCTCAAACCAATTCTATTTGCTGACGACACAACCTTCATTTACTCCAGTCCTGACCCCCTTGCTCTAAATGCCACAGTAAATACTGAGCTAAATAAAGTCCATTTTTGGCTAACTGCCAACAAACTCACCCTTAACATTGACAAAACTTTCTATATTCTGTTTGGCAATAAATCCTCTAATCAAATAAATCTCAAAATAAACAATACCCAAATTTGTAACAAATTAGATGGCAAATTCCTTGGCATTCTCATTGACCACAAGCTGAATTTCCAGGGACACATTCTAAATATATCAAAAAAAGTTTCAAAAACTGTGGGCATTCTTTCTAAGATCAGATATTATGTACCACGCCCTGCCCTGGTGACTCTCTATTACTCCCTTATCTATCCATATCTCAACTCCAAATGACCTTCCAAATGCCTCCCAACACCTCAAACCAATCCTATTTGCTGATGACAACCTTCATTTACTCCAGTCCTGATCCCCTTACTCTAAATGCCACAGTAAATACTGAGCTAAATAAAGTCCATCTGTGGCTAACTGCCAACAAACTCACCCTTAACATTGACAAAACTTTCTATATTCTGTTTGGCAATAAATCCTCTAATCAAATAAATCTCAAAATAAACAATACCCAAATTTGTAACAAATTAAATGGCAAATTCCTTGGCATTCTCATTGACCGCAAGCTGAATTTCCAGGGACACATTCTAAACATATCTAAAAAAGTTTCAAAAACTGTGGGCATTCTTTCTAAGATCAGATATTATGTACCACGCCCTGCCCTGGTGACTCTCTATTACTCCCTTATCTATCCATATCTCAACTATGGTATTTGTGCTTGGGGCTCTACTACCCAAAATCACTTACGTCCTCTAATTACTCAACACAAAGCTGCTATTAGGACAATATCCAATTCTGGCCCCAGACATCACTCGGTACCCCTACTCAAATCTCTGAATATGTTAGACATTAAGTCACTGCACATTCTCTCATGTGTATTATACATATATAAAACGCTAAACTATAATGCCAATCCTGATCTCAAAAGCTTCATAGAAGGTTGTAACAGAACCCATGAGCACCACACCAGAAATAAATACAGTTTTGATATTCCTAGAGTACGACTTAATCAAACTAGAAATGCTCTACAAATCAAGGGGCTCAGAATGTGGAATGACCTTCCCAACCATGTTAAAGACTGTACCTCTCTCAACCAGTTTAAGATAAAAACGAAGCTATACCTAATAAATTCCCTGTAACCTACCTTACCCTTCTATTGTCAACCAATGTCTGTTTTTTTTAAAGAGCGCTGTTTGTCGACATAATTGTATTTGTGCTGCTTTTTCAGCTATGTTTTCATTTCTTGTTTTCATTCTACTCATTATGCTCAATTAGTATTAAGCTTGTCATTTAAGTTTATCATGCCCGAAACGCTTTGCGAAATAGTGGCTTTAGGCATTGTATGTACTAGCACTACCTATAAGTCAACCAATCTTTGTAAAAATTTATTGTATGTATGTACCTTACCTAAATAAACATTTTATTTTTTTTTTTTTATCAGCGACAGGCAGGCAATGGACAAGCAGTTTGCCGGTTTACGGTGGCGGTGGCGAGCAGGTGTGCCGGTGTGCTGGATACGTTTTGCTCTCTGGGCAAAACGTTTTGGAGATACTTGCTGGATATATCTTCTATATTATCTGTTGTTGTTACGTACTTTGAAGGGAAGAGCAGGCTCAATCTCTCTTAAAAGAGATTATCGTCACAACTCTCCCCCGAAGCCTGCGGTTCTGGAAGAAGTACGTCGTCATGTGGTGGAGTTGCTTCTACTTCATAAACTCTGGAGAGGGCATCGGCTATGATGTTGTCAGAACCCTTGATATAGCGGATCTCCAGGTTGAAATCTTGTAGATATAAAGCCCATCGTAGAAGACGCTGGTTAGTGAATTGGGCTTGATGTAAGAAGCGGAGAGGGTTGTGGTCTGAGAAGATGGTGGTAGACCTGGCACCTTGTAGGTATGGAGCGAAGTGTTGGAGATTCAGGACGATGGATAGTAGCTCCTTTTCAATAGTGCTGTAGTTCCTCTGGTGGGGTTTCAATTTGTAGCTGTAGTAGCTGACAGGTAGAACCTCCTCGCCTCGTTGCTGCATCAGGACACCACCAACGCCGGTACCACTGGCGTCGACATGAAGGACGAAAGGCTTGGTGATATCTGGCGAGGCAAGAATGGGATTAGAACAGAGGAGGAATTTGAGTTGTTCGAAAGCAACGGTTTGCTGCATGGTCCAATTATACCGTTGCTTGGGACTGGTTAACATGATTAAAGGCGTTGCGACTGTACTGAAATTTCTCACAAACCTACGGTAGTAGGAGGCAAGACCAAGGAAGCGCAGGAGCTGCTTCCTGGTGGTAGGCTGTGGATAATGCTGGATGGCTTGAGTGTGTGAGTCTAACGGAGCTAGGCTGCCACTCCCAATTACATGACCCAGATAACGCACTTTACCTTTCGCGAAGGTGGACTTGCCCAGGTTGATGGTGAGGCCGGCTGTCAGGAGCTTGGCGAACAGTCGTCGCAGCTGGAGCAGATGTTCGCTCCAGGTGTTGGATGCTACGACGATATCATCCAAATAGGCGTAGGTGTTATCCAAGCCCTGGATGACACGATTGACAGCTCTCTGAAAGGTGGCCGGGGCATTACATAGTCCGAAAGGAAGGCGTTCATATCTGAAAAGTCCAAAAGGAGTGATAAAGGCAGATATTTCTTTGGCTCGCTCCGTTAAGCACACTTGGTAATACCCCTTAAGCAAGTCCACTTGGGACAAGTGCTGGGCATTACCAATGGCGTCAAGAATGTCATCTATCCTTGGCATGGGGTATGCATCCTTGACAGTCACATTATTTAACTTACGATAGTCAGTGCACAGTCTCACCTTACCTTGGGGTTTTGGCACCAAGATACAGGGTGAGGCCCAGGGGGACTCACAAGTTGTAGCCAGTCCATGATCCAAGAGGTACTGCACCTCAGCACGCATGACTTCCTTCTTGCTAGGGCTGATTCGGTAGAAGGGTTGACGAATCGGCCGGGTGTCGGGGAGCAGTTGGATGTCGTGCTGGGTAACATTACACTCTTGGGGGTCATCTCGGAACAACTCCTGATGTTCTCTGAAGATCTTGACAAGAGATGCACTATGATTGTCCTGAAAATAGTTTGGAAGATCAGTAAGGATTTCCGAATTAGAAAGCGCTGACTCCTTGTCAGTGCTTTCGGGAGGAGAAGCAGGGAAGGTCTCACTGTGGATGTATGGTTCTGTAAAGGCAGAGTAGTTAAGCATGACAGTTGATTGATTGATTGATGAAGATTAAGCCACCTAAAGGTGGCACGGGCATGAATAGCCCGTAACTGGTGGCCCTTTCAAGCCATTACCAGTATCAACAGCTGATACTGGAGATCTGTGGAGGTGCGAATGCACCCTGCATGGCGGGAGATGTCTCCCTTGTTAATATGTTAAGATGAAGCCACCGAAAAGGTGGCACGGGCATGAATAGCTCGTAAGTGGTGGCCCTTTTGAGCCATCACCAGTATCAATAGATGATACTGGAGATCTGTGGAGGTGCGACTGCACCCTGCGTGACGGGAGATGTCTCCCGTCGAGCATGACAGTGGGAGGAGTACCGTTATATAGCTTCAGGAGGTTGACGTGGCACAGCTGGGTCTTCCGCCGCCTATCTGGAGTCTCTAGAACGTAGTTATGGTTGTTTCTGCACTCCTTGATGCGGTAGGGTCCTGAAAACTTGTTTTGTAAAGGAGAACCTGGGATAGGGAAGTAAGCAAGTACGAAGTCTCCCGGCTTAAATTTTCTTACTTTGCTGGTCTGGTCGTAATGAGTCTTCATCCTCTCCTGTGCTTTCAATAGATTATCTTGGGCAAAACTGTGGACTCTCTCTAGAATGTGTTGAAGGTTTTGAAGAAACTGGGGCATATTCTGATGCTCACTGAAGGTGGCATCACGTAGAGAGTCTTTGAAAGCCTTGAGGGGAGTACGGCACTTACGTCCGTAGAGCATCTCATAAGGAGATACTCCTAGGGACTCATTGGGAAGACTTCTATCGACTGAGGGTGTACCCTCTCGTTTATTATCAAGCTACTCCTTTGACCATGTGTTGCATGGCGGTGGACTATTTACATTTATGATCGTTAGTTTATCATCCTGATTGCAGATCTCTAGTGCTATTATGTCAACTTCTCGTGGATTGGCAAACATTTCGCTTACCTTTAGATGTTCTTCTTGCACAGCAACGCCACCGCCTTTCCTAATTTTCCTGTCTTGTCTCCAAACTGAGTAGCCTCTTGCGAATATGACCTCATTTAAAATATCATCTTCAAGTTTCGTCTCCATGAGTGCAACAATGTCTGGCGTCTGCAGCTGTATTACATCACTTAACTCCAGTATCTTTGATCTCACTCCATCTATGTTGGTGTATGCAATTTTCAGGAACACGTTCCCCCTCTCCTTATTCTTCACTCCCCCCTTTCTCTAGCGATTTTGTTGCTTTGCCTTTTTGTATCATTTTACTGGTCTGCCTACCCTTATTACTTTGTAGAAAAATAAAGAATTGATTTCTTTTTCATTCCTGTCCTAATTTAGACGTTTTGCCTCGGCGAGGTTCAGTTTCAGCTTCTATGTCTTCTTTTGAAATATTTTGTCTTAACGACCATAATGTCCCTTTCTCATCACTTTATAATTTTCTAGCATTCCTTGGTACTTCTTCCATCTGTTTTGTACCGTTTAGGGTGATCCTCAAAGGTTGATCTTTCCCTTTACGTACTTGCCAATCCTCCTGTAGTCACAGACATTCTGTATGGTAGTAAGATCTTTCCGCGATTGCTGTAACTTTGTTGAATTTTTTATACATACATTATATGAAAATCGAGAGGAAAATAAACACAGACATAGACTCGCTATCACTTCAAGACGATCTTAATAGGGTTTTGAAATGGTCAAAAGATTGGCAGATGCAGTTTAATGCTGGCAATTGTAAGATTTTAAGGCTAGGTAATGATGATACGGTTACAAAATATGAGCTAGATTTAAGGGAGCCGGTCGGCCGAGCGGACAGCACGCTGGTCTTGTGATCCTGTGGTCCTGGGTTCGATCCCAGGCGCCGGCGAGAAACAATGGGCAGAGTTTCTTTCACCCTATGCCCCTATTACCTAGCAGTAAAATAGGTACCTGGGTGTTAGTCAGCTGTCACGGGCTGCTTCTTGGGGGTGGAGGCCTGGTCGAGGACCGGGCCTCGTATGGGCCACACTAAAGCCCCGAAATCATCTCAAAATCAAAATCATCTCAAGATAGATGGTGTTGAGATTGCGAAGTCGGATTGCAAAAGGGATCTGAGTTATGATTAGTAAAAAATTAAAACCAAAAAAATCAATGCAAAAATGTTCGTAATAAGGCAAATAGGACACTGGGATTTATTAATCGAAGCATTACTAATAAGACACCTGGTGTTGTTCTTCAGTTATTTCTTGCTCTGGTTAGGCCCCATTTAGATTATGCAGTTCAGTTTTGGTCGCCATACTATAGAATGGATACAAATTCACTAGAATACGTCCAGCATAGGATGACAAAGTTAATCCCCCAAATTAGGAACCTCTCATATGAAGAAAGATTGACAAAGCTTAAATTACATTCGCTGGAAAGGCGAAGAGTTAGGGGTGACATTATGGAGATGTTTACTGGTTCGGTAACAGGATTGTTGATTTGTGGAACCAATTACCACGTAACGTGGAGGTGGGGTCCCTTGATTGTTTAAAGCGTGGGGCTGGACAATACGTAATAGTGGCTTTAGGTATTGTATGTACTAGCTCTATCTATAAATCCAACATCATCTATGTATGTATTTTTCCTGAATAAACATTTGAATTTGACATGTATATGAGTGGGATTGGGTGGTTATAAATAGGAGCTGCCTCGTATGGGCCAATAGACCTTCTGCAGTTACCTTAATTCTTATATAACTACTAGCACTAAAGTGTTACTGGTCCTCAGGTTCAGGAGCCTGTACACCAATTAATTAACAGCTGAGGGGGGCGGGAGCAAATAGTCGAAGCTCATTTCCGTAAGCACAAATAGGGGAGTCCATCGGCATGACCATTTGGGTGTACGCCATCTATGTTTTGACAGCAGTACTACCAGTTTACCCCCACGTTATTCGATGATCACGTGAGAGAGCACGGGTGTTATGGTCAGTTGCTATTCTATATATGATTCTAGACAACGTAGGTGATTTGTGGCTTGTTGCGGGCAGAAGTCAGCAGTAACTCTTTAACCAGTGTTGGAAGAAGACGTATAGACCAGTGCGGTTGACCAGCGGGTAAGTTGAGTATTTTTTTGTGTTTAGGTGCGTCTTTCTAATAGTCATTTGTTAATTAATTTTAGGTTGGGTTAGTTACAAGTTATAATAGTTAGGTTAATGTTTTGGGTTTTACTTGAAGATATAATAAAATAGAGGGGGGGGGAGAGGAGAGGATTGGATTGGATTTGTATAGGTAACACTAAATTACTGCCAGTTTGGCTTCCGGTCCCAAAAGAGCACCAACGATGCAATCATTAGTCTCCTTGACGTTATCTATTCAGCCCTTGACAAAAATGAGTTTCAGATTGGACTCTTCATTGACCTAAGAAAACCCTTTGATACTGTTTATCACAACTACCTCTTACTTAAACTCTAGCATTATGGAATCGGAGGCCTTGCCCTTGACTACATCCGATCCTATCTTGGTGACAGACACAAATATGTAACCATCAATGATACAACTTTTTCCACTCTACCAATTACCGTTGGAATGCCACAGGGCAGCATCTTGGGACCTCTTCTATTTCTTGTATATATAAACGATCTGCCTAATGTCTCTCAAACCTATATTGTTTGCTGACGATACTACCCTTATCTATTCAAACCTCAACCCACAAACTAAATGTTGTGAATAATTAATTAAAAAAAAAGTCCACATGAATGTCAATGAACAAACATTAAACATCGAAAAGACTTGCTACATCTTATTTGGAAGCAAATCATCAAATGCAATTCAGCTACAGATAGACAACATTAACATCAGTAATAAAAATAATGGCAAGTTTCTTGGCCTATTCCTAGACAAGAGACTAAACTTCAGCACCCACATTCAACACATAACTAAGAAAGTCTCTAAGACAGTTGGTATACTCTCCAAAATCGGATATTATGTTCCTAACTCTGCTCTCCTCTCACTATATATTGTGCAGTAATCTACCCCTATCTTAATTATGGTATCTGTGCATGGGGGGTCTACCACTGCAAACCACCTTAAGCCCATCACACAGCAAAAATCTGCTATCGGAATAATAACTAACACTGCTTTCAGACAACACTCGGCTCCCTTGTTTAAATCCCTAAACTTGCTAAATATTAACTCCCTCCACACACTCTTGTGTCGACTACATTTACAAAACCCTGTTCTTAAATGCAAACCATGCTCTGAAACTCTCCCTGGACAGATGTAATAGGACCCATTATCACCACACCAGAAATAAATCTTTGATATCCCCAGGGTCAAACTTAATCTGTGTAAACACTATGTAAATTAAGGGACCTAGTCTATGGAACTCGCTCCCTAGTGAATTGAAAAACTGTAACTTTTGCCTTATTTAAAAGCAAAACCAAAAAGTACCTAACTTCATCTTAGTTTCCTACAGAGCTTTAAATTTGCTCTGTACCTAGTGTTACCCATCTCCTAATTTTTATGTAATATCAAACCTTATCATTGTGTTCATTGCTTTCTTCTTTTGTGCTAGCCATATGCTGTATTGTGACTACCAATTTTTGTCAACTACCATTCAAGCTGTCATTGCAATCAATCTTAGCTACCTATGTGCTTTAATATACTGTACCTACAATTTTCTCTAGTCGTCTTTTTATAATTTCATGTAATGTTATCATTTTTTTGTCTAAATTTTGCAAGTATTTACCTCCCTTAAAATTTTCTTAGATTAAGGACCTGCCCGAAACGCTGCGCGTGCATATTGCTGCAAATATAGGGAACGGTAGTAAAAAATATTTGAATTGTGTAAATAACGTCAATATTGGCTTTACAAGACTGTAATTACCATATTTGTATCCTCTCATTCCTTATGTACATTCTTGTATATGCATAAATAAATAAATAAACTTGCAGGTGGTAAATTCTCCTTCGGCTGCTGCAGCTCTCCAGCCCAGGGCGTTGACTGGCTAGTCTTCAATTGCCTCCCAACATGGTAATGAGGTCCTGAGCTGATGTGATCTGTGGCGAAGAGTGAAAGTTGCCTGAAGTAGCGTATGGCACCCTTTGTAACCAGCAGCTGGCACCAACTTTGGGCAACATCAGAGTGGACAAGGCCCAGATCCTGTGGGAGACCTTCTACACTAACGTTAAAGGTACAGAATCTTAATCACACCCCCCTTCCCTGGCAGTTTCAGTTCCCCTCCCTCTTTTACATTCCCATAGCTTGAAAAGCTTTATCTTAAATAGCAGCATAGTTTTGTTAAAGAATGAATTTTTGGCTGGGATTAAATATCTTCTAAAGCAGAAAATTAGAAAGTGTCCATGCTTTGGTATTAGTTGGGTGAATGAGATTAATAAGGTTGTATAACTACCTTAAGTTTAAAAAAAAAAAAACTTAAACTGTAGCTCCTACTTGTGCAATTTTGATTGGTGGACTGTGACTTGGTCCTTATCGATCTACTGCAAGGTAATATTTTTGGCATTTATGGATTATGCTGCACATGATAAGCTTCAGAGTTTTCAAGTAACTTGCAAGTCTTCAAACTACTTGTTCGTGTGTGTTTCTTATAAGGTCTCGTAGCCTTCACTTTACTCAAACAAGTAATAATATCCTTATGACAGTCGGGCCAAAAAATAGAATATTGGGTTCTCTCCTGACATGTTTAGTAATTTGTTAGATCCTTTCACTGCTGTTTCAACTATGTTCTTTATTCATTGTAATGGTTATTTAATGTTTTGTTTCCTGGCAAGTCATGTGGTAGCTTGTGAAAAGCTTCAAAAAATCAATTTAGTCCTTTGATGTTGAGTGGTTAATTTGGAAAGTAAAGTTTGCATGACAGCCTTATTTACAGTATTTAAATTTTCTTTGGGGGGGGGTGCCTACTCCTTTAAAATTCCTGTAAATGGTGAATGAATCTGACTTTACAGATAGCAAGTCTACTGGATTTGCTGGTAGTTTTGTGCTATTTGTGGCCTGTATAAATGGGAGCAACATTTGCAAAAAATCCAATCTAGAAAAGTATTGAAAGTAGAGGCACATTTCATGGAAAGTTCCCCTGACCCTTAAACTGTGCATATTACTGCAAATATAGGGAACGGTAGTCAAAAATATTTGAACTGTGTAAATAACGTCGATGTTAAATCTCCAACTTATTGGCGAAAGTTGTGAAACTTTCATATTTTTGGAAATTGATTTTAGAGTAATTTTGGTAAAAATTTTATGAACAGCTTCTAATAACCAAAACTGAGATTATGCAGTAATAGATGCAAGCATCTGGTCTAGACACGAAGAATAGTGTCCACAAAGTGGATATGCCGTTGGGGCCTTTATGATAAAGTAATACATGGCACAAATAATAATCATACACCATAAATACATTGGACAATATTAATGTTACTTTCATATTGTTCCAAAAATTTATTTATGGAAATTTTGTAGTTTTTGTTGTAACCTTTACATCCTTGAAAATACACTTTTTCATAACTGTGGATAGAATGAAATTGGTAAACAAATAAATCGATCAAAACTTTGGACTTAATATTTTTGGCAACTTCTTCTTTTTCTGCTTTAAAACTGCAGGTATTCTCTTTAGGTTAGTTTGATTAGACCATTAGGGCTTTTTCACTTGTATAAAGTATACCCTAAAGATGTCCCCTAAATCAGAATTATCCCTAGTTTTTATTTTTTTTTTCTAGACTTTAAATTTAAAAACATTGACCTAGAACTCTCACATTAGAGTATGAATGTTTATTAAAACATGGTTAAATTAAAAATGGTTCTATAATTACATTACTTAAATTCTCTGGTTTCGGTTTCGTGTTTGAGTTTTCCGATTATCACTATTTTGATTGTGCTCGGGTGTCTGTTATAAAATTCCATCGGACTAGATTTTTCTTAACTTTTATAAATTTGGAGTTGTAATTTTTTAGTCTACAATTGCCACAATTCAAATGCCCTATTGACTATTTTTTTTTTTACAGAAAATATACTGAACCTATATTCTAACTTGATATGTTCTGAGAATGTTAAATTAATAATTCATTTTATATTCTGAATTAAATTTAGTTCTGAATATTAAATTATAATTTAGAATCTTTTGAAAGTTATGCTCTAATCATTTAGACAGTTGGAGCCCTTGCCTAGTTGATTATGCAAAAATAGTTTTAAAACTTGTTAAATTGTCAAAAGATGTGGTTTAAGGGTTAACTTTGCATTTAAATATCCACACCTGTGTTAAATTTTTTGGCTTTTCAACTTGTATCCCTTATGGTATATCTTGATTCATCCTGTACACCTGCTTAACATCCATGAATGTTTTGGTATATAAAGTTGAATACTGATATAATGGTTAATTTAATGTTTGTGTTTATCAGATGACACGCTAAAGTGGAGCCAGTTATGTTACTTGGTTATCGTCTAGTATGTAGTTTGGTCAAAATGGTTTTTGGTAACAATCTTCTGCCATGTTGAATGTCCTTGTATAATTGTCCTAAAGGTTGCAAAGTGTAGGTTTGTGTACTTTGTGGTATTTTTGAGTAGTTTCTTTCAGAATTTGAAGCCTCTGTAGGTTAGGATATTATAGTGTACATGTTCCAAAAGGCTTTGCTTAGTTTCTAGGTTAAACTACCTATATAATCCATACTGTAGTTCATTGTACGTGCAAATGATATTTGGGAAAGCTGTAGTTATTCCCATAATACTTAAATATTATATCTTGATGTTGTAAGCAACTTGATTGCCATTCTTGTTCTTTGAGGGTAGTGTATAAAATTGTGCAGACCTTTTTAGATGTTGAAAAATAGTTTCACTTGGCAAAGTAGGTAATTATTTGTTCTGTTAAACTTGGTTTAAATTAAAGAATTGGCTTGGTAGTTGCAGAAAGATAATTAATGTAGTTGAATAAGTCTCTTTGTTACTATTGTGTAACTAGTTTTAATTGTCAATGCTACAAAGTTTTTCATATTGGTAATCTTTGAATCTCTTTACCAAGAGATTGGCAGCATACGAGGTGCATAATCCAGCTTTGGTCTTGGAAAAGTTGTAAAAAATTAGTTTAACTAGAGTAAATGAAATTGGAAACTGTAGTGTAGGCTTGTATGGTCCTTAGTTGAGTTGCATAAACAAATACCTAGAGGTTTTTTATCAGAATATTTTAAAGGTTGTAGGCTGTGCCTATTGTAATGTAGCATTGATGAATGTGTCTGCCTTATAGGTCCAAACAATTAAGTTTATAATCTAGTATCTAGGCATGGTTAGGAAACGTGTTCACAATTGTATAAATTGTAAAGTAAATTGTCAATAATTAAAATCAGTGGTGCAGTTAATGTGTGCTAAAGGAGTTTAATAATTGATTATGGTCCACAATCTTGAATGGTAGAATGTGCTAGTGTAGCAATTATTTCCAGAAAGTTGATTAAGTTGGAATGGTTAAAAATGTTAATATCTAGGTAACCCAAGGCTCTAAGATGTATCAGTTTTTTATTTTATTTTTTTTTTTGTTACAGGTAAAGAAACTAATTTTGCTAGTTAGAAGACTGGCTACTGTAATGATTGAGCCTGTTTAGTGGAGAATAGTGTACTGTATAGTAGATATACTCCATTGTCAATGAAGTACATAGCTGGATCTCGGGTGAATCATTGTATGGGAAAACTGGAAATGTGTAACTTGTCCTTATTGGTAATTTAGTAAAAAAAAGAGCTAGCATGTTGCATAATAGAAATTGTTTGTGGTAAAATGTTCATTGCACACAACATAACAGCAGCTGTTAAATGTCAGACTAAGTGGGTGAGATTAGTGGTAAATGAAAGATTGAAGAGTGCATCATTACTAGATTCTCGCAACTTTTCCTTGCATGGTCAGTAATATAAGATTATATGGTAGTAATTTTGAGGATTTGTATACTTGTGTATTTGGTGTAATTATGTGTAGAAATGAGCTGTTATTATATGTTTCATAAACTTGGTAATATGACCTGTTATACTTACAGCAGTTTGAATATTAAAGTAACTAAGTGCATAATTTGTAAGTTTAATAATAGAAAGTTTTAATAAGTACAAAGTTGTTAATTCAGATTTTTTCACTTGATGGGTGGAGAAGCATAATCTGCAATGACCCCTATAATGTATCAAAATTAAATTTGTGGTAGCATATAACTGAGTATGGTCCCTTAAGTTAGTGACTTACCTTAAATAGTGATGAATCGTGGTATGAGACCTGTTGCTCTTGGGTAAAAAAAATTTTGGCCGTTTTGGAATGGGTATTAATGTTCTTGACACTGTCTTGAGACTAATTGACTAGTTACTGGATTATAATTATGTGGGTGTCATGGGCCGTTGATGATTTTTGAGTAAAAAGGTGATGCAAGGTTTATTTTTTTAACCTATTTGAATGTAGTTGTTTGTAAGCACTAGTGTGGTGCATGGGATTGAATGATCACTGCTCCACATTGTGATAAAATAGACTCCTGTTGCATTGAAGTTTTGCAAGTTGAATAAATGTTTTGGCAAATATTGGTGTAGTTGTAATATTGTACATTGTTAGAATAAAGATTAACTTGGTGAATGGGTGGTTATATTGCTTTTTAATCTTGGTAGTTTGTTATAGCAAATGTTTGTATTTGAAGGTAGTTTAAATAAGTTATAAACTACTTATTGGTAATAGTTGGCAACATAAATTTTAAAGTATCGGGCATTATAGGAAGTCTGTACCCAAATTTATGTATATTGGGATATTTAATGTAGGTGTACGTAAGCTATAAGTTGAAAGATAATGTTAATCTAACATGTTAGATTGTCATTGCCCATATTGTAGATAGTCATGGTAGGTCTTCTACGTAATGAGGTTTGTGATGGTTTAAGCTCTTTACACGTGGCAACAAGTAATTGGTTAATACATTTAGATCTCTGTATAGTTTTCTATTTCTTAAAATAGAAAATCCCTTTGATCCCAAAGCAAGTGCTTGTGATTTAGCATATATCTTGGGTGTAAGTTTTTAACTATCCTTTGTTGTATAAATATTATTCTACTGTACAAATCTCTTGTGTATACTATGAGAACTGTTGGTAATCATTTAAGTAATGATTGGTTCAAAATCCCAGTTGTGTTCTGGGGAACGTAGGACAGTTACCTGAAATGCTACACATGCTAGTGGGTGTAAAAGAATGTAAGAACTGTGACATTTTGTTGCCTTCTATAATTAACTTATGAGCTAAAGCTTGGTTTGCCTGCAATGTTAGAGATGCATAATATTCCCAAAGACTAATGGTGTATTGTAGTAACAATATGGGGGATGTGGGGGAGGGGGGGAATCCTGACAAGATTTAATTTGAAAATTAAATGTTTGCTACAAAAATTGTGTACTTTAAAGGACTTTGTTCTATAATTTAAATGAATGAAAGATGGGGTGAGGGGAAGTAGGAAATTTGTTATTGTAGTTTTAAAATAGCAAATAAAGTTAAAAAAAAAAAGCTGTGCAAAAAAGTAAATCTTTAATGTTCCATTGACAGGTTGTGGAGGGTCCTTCGAAACAACTTCAGGAACAACGTACAGAAAAATTGCCTCTAGTGATGCTACAGGAAGTAGCATGTTGTATGTCAGAAATATAGAGGGCAAAAGTAAGTTTACTGATTAGTTTAATGAGTAGCTCTTAAATATTTAGGTAAAAATTGTGTAAAATTGTGAAGGGGCCTGGAAATAGGAAAATAAGTTCTAGACCTTGACAAGTGGGTACAAAAGTTTAGTTAGAAGAATTGGTTTGAATAGCATAAAAAGGATTTTAATTTGTAAAGTGGGGTGTTTACTCTTAAATAGAATAAAATCTGATGTATAGGGTATTTATAATTTGTTAATTGGTTTGCGTTGTGTTCGGTTAGTTTGGTTGCAAATTACTTGACAGTTTGTTTTGTCTATAAATTGCACAATGACAAGTGATGCATCAAATAAGCCCACAAGGGCTGTGAGGGTTCACATGTCAGATTGCGGATGTACCATAATTGACTGCCATGACAAACTAAAACTTAAACTGGGAGGCCTACTGACCTTACAGCTCCTGCATTCCTGGTTTGGTGCCTTTTGATAATTACTTGCTCATGGCTCCTGCAGTAGCTTTGAACCCTCGTAGATTTGTTCATCTAAATGTTTAACTTGTGTTCATAACTGAAAGTAAAAACTAATGATGGTACAGAAATGAAATAGACTAGTAACTGTACTTCTTATCTATAAATATAAATGTAAATGTTTGTTAAAAATTGCTAATATCCAATAGTTCTTCAGATTGCTTTGTTAAAATTTCAATGTTACATTTGCATCAGAGTAGGTTTTTATATACATATTATATTGATGTGACGTCTGTGACGGGAGAACCTTTTTTTTTTTTTAAATTGTTTTTCAGTGTGATTTTGACAATCTTTGAAACCTGTTTACCAATTACTTAAGTTTTGACAAGATGTTGCATTCGAATAGGCATGTTTCTATATACATGCCTTACCTGTGACTAGAGGAATTTGTTTATTTTTTAACATTGCCATCTGTTGGATGTAAGAGCCACACACTGTAATCTCCCCAAGTTCTTCACAGATTGCTTTGAAACTGACACAACGTTCCATTCGAATATGGGTATCTTTTCATATACCTACTATATAGATGCCACCCCTGTGACGGGTAAAAAAAAATATGCATTTTTGAAAAAGGGGACCATCTGTTGCACATAACATGCACTATAGTCAAATTCCATTTCAATGTTTCAGATTGCATTGATATAATTAAATAAATATAAATCTTTGAAAATTTAAAGCGTTTTGTGACATTGTGGAGATAGAGCTGTGTTTACCATAACATTCATTTTGTAGGTATATAGATGCCACACCTGTTATAGGTAAAGCTATGCTTTGAACAAATCCTGTTCTAAGCAGAAACTATGCTTTTCTTGGAAGTGCCATCTGTTGAATGTAAGAGAAACACGTGCTATACTAGATGTTACAATTCAATTTAAATATGATTGCATTGATAAATTGAATTTTCGTAAGTTTAGATTATTAATTTTGCTTTATTTTGTGAATTGCATTAGAAATGAGCCGTGTTTACCATACTGTTCATTTCGTGAGTACTTTGTTACTTTTTCATTTCATTTTTAACTTATATTTTAGTGATGAACATCAGATCAGTTGATGTTCCAAGTTTTCTGATCAGGAAAATCACACAATATGGGAAGTCATTGGACGAGGGAGTTGGGAATGGTGGGGATAGCGAGGGGACAGAAGTGAGAGAATGGGAAGGACAAAGGGAAGAGGGAGGGGGGTAATGGTGGAAGGATGAGGGGATAGGGAAATGGAGAATGGTTGGAAGACAGAGACGATGAGGGGGGAAGACTGGGGGACAGAAGGTTGCTGTGGCCAGGTTGTGCTAGTTTGTTAAAAAAAAAATTGAAGTTTAAATGGGCTTTTTCTTTCAGAATATGGATTGGAAGTCTAGAACGTCATCCTAGACTTTGAAGGTGTTGATTGTTTGACATTCAGAATCAGCCAAGTGGTAAATATTTAAACATGTTTGCATTGTATTAAATATTGGTTTTAAACACTGTAGCATTATAGCTAAAGATCATCTAAATGATGGTTGCATGTAATGTGAAGTCAAAATTGCCACAAGTCTGAAGTATCTTTTTCCACTTTAATGTACTCATGACTACTCAAACTATTTAATACAGACTCTAAGTTTTGTGCTTGATTAGCATTAGTGAGAATTTGACAATATTAACATTTTGGTAGATTTTAAAGGAACATTATCCATTGTAAATTTGCAAAGCAACTTGCAAAAGTTCAATACAGAATTTACAAGCCAATTTGGTTAAATGTTTCAGGTTCTAATGAAGATTACAATGGTATCAAAGTGACTGGCTAAAGTGTGGCTGTTCTAATGTGCACATCTATAAAGCTGGTAAGTTGACTTGCATGTTAGCTATATAAATTGTAGTACAAATATGGGGGGGGGGGAATCCTAACTATAAATTTTATTTGAAAAAAAAATTTTTGTAGCTTAATTTTTACTTAAAAGGGGTTTGTTCTGTAACTTATAAAAGATGGGGTAAGGGGGGGGGAGTAGCTTATTTATTAATGTAGTGTTAAGGTGAATATTTAATTTTAAAAACAAATTGCTGTGCCAAAAAAATTTAATAACCATATTTAATGTTCCATTGACAGGCTGTGAAGGGTCCTTCTAACATCAGGAACCGAGTACAAAGAAATTGCTGGTAGTAGCATGGTTTTGTCAGAATTAGAGGGCAAAGTAAGTTTATTGGTAATTAGTTTAATAGCTAGTTTTTAAATATTAAAGTAAAAATTATGTATTAAAATTGTGAAGGGGCCTGTAAATGGAGAAAATAAAAACTAGTTCTAGGCCTTGACAAGTGGGGTACAATATCAGTGTAGTTGTTGCAGGAATTGCTTTGAATGGCATAAAAATTCTAATTTTAAATAGAATAAAATCTTAAGTTGAGTATTTATAATTATTTATATTTAGTCTTCTTAGCTTTCAGTGTTCAGTTAATTGTTTGGTTAAAAGTTTGAAATTTATAGATGAAACGGTGTGATGCATCAAATGAACAAATGTAAAAGGGCTGTGATGAGGGTTAGGATGTTGGAGGATTGCAGATGCACCTTAATCGACTGTGCCATGATATGGTAAAAGAATTGCAACTGGGAGGTCTACTGACCTAATGGCTTGGTTTGAACCCTCATTGATTTGTTCATATAAATGTTTGTAACAGAATTTCATAATTGAAAGTAAAGTTAAAACAAAAAAATAACTGAACTGTACTTCATCTAATTGTAATATACTTGAAGTTTAAATGTTTTTTCTTTGACTATAGATTAGGAAGTCCAGAACATCCTAGAGTTTGAAGGTGTTGATTGCTCGACATTCAGAATCAGGCGAGTGTGGTAGTAATAATAAATTAAAGATTTGCATTATATTAAATAGTAAAGTTAAACAATGTAGCATTGTCTGAAGTATCTTTCTCCACTTAAATGTACTAAAGAAACTTAGCTTGAATAGCCATACCTACGTTTTTATTTGCTTGATTAGCATTAATAAAACTTAAAATTTTAGCAGATTTTTAAAGGAACACTACCATTGTGAATTTGCAAGGAAACTTAAGTAAAAAGCTGTTTATAAGGTAATTTGGTTAAATGTTTCAGGTGCTTTGCTAGATTATAATGGTATCAAAGCAGCGCGTGGCTGTTCTGCTCGGCACATCTATGGAGCTGGTATGTTGAATTACATGTTTTTGCTATATTGTATTACCAATATGGGGGATGCAGGGGGGGAATCCTAACTTTAAATTATAACTTAAAAGGGCTTTGTTCTAGAATCAATAAGTGAAAGATGGGGTGGGGGAAGTAGGTAATTTATTAGTGTATTTTGAAAGGCAAACATTTAAGTTTAAACATTGCTGTGGGGAAAAAATTTATTAACCATATTAAATGTTTCATTGACAGGTTGTGGAGGGTCCTTGTATGCTACAGAAAGTAGCACGGGCTGAGCAGACAGCACACTGGAGATGTGGTCTCGGGTTGAATCCTGGGTGCTGGCAAGAAATGCTGGGCTGAGTTTCTCGCCCTATGCCCCTGTGAGTTAAGTCAGCTGTAATGGGTTACTTTGTGGGGGGGGGGGGGGACTAAAGGCCTGAAATTGCGAAGATACTTTTGCCCTCTATCATTCTGACAGTTAAGTTTACTGCTATAATTAGTAGTATTAAAATATTTAGGTAAAAATTGAAGGGGCCTGGAAATGGAGGATAAAAACTGTAGTTCTAGGCCTTGACAAGTGGGTACAATAAAAGTTTAGTCCTTGCAGGAATTGTTTTGAATAGCATAAAGAAATTTTAAAATGGTCACTTTACATTTTATTCACTTTAAGAATTGAGGGTATTTAGAACTATTGAATTAAATGGTAGTTGGTTTGCTTAACTTTGTGTTAAGTTTCTTAGTTCTTAAATATTTGGCTAAAAGTTTTTCATCTATAAATTGCACACCCAATAGTGATGCATCAAATGACCAAATCCACAAGGGCTGTGATGAGGGTTCAAATGTCAGAAGATTGCAGATGTACCATACAAGAGACAAATTAAATATTGACTAGTAACTGTACCTCATATTTTTTAATGTAACTAGTTTAAATAAGCTTTTTCTTTCAGAATAAGAATTGGGAAGTCCAGATGTTCATCCTAGAGTTTGAAGGTGTTGATTGCTTGACATTCAGAATGGGGTAAGTTTTGGTGAATATTTTAAATAGAAAAATAAGTAAGGCATCAGTGGTTGCATGTAGATAATGTAAAGTAAAAATTATCTTTCTCTACTTTAAAGTACTTGTTAAACTTAAATAATTTGAGTAGCCATATCTAAATCTTTTGCTTTATTAGCATTAGTGAGAATAAAATGTTAACATTATAAGGAACATTAGCCATTAGTTTGCAAAGCAACTTGTAATACAAGATGTATAAGCTAATTTGGTTAAATGTTTCAGGTGGTAATGAAGATTATGATGGCATCTAGGAATTGACTGGCTTAAGAAGTGTGGCTGTTCTACTCTGCACATTCCAATAAACTGGTATGTTGAATTAAATGTTTTAGCTATATCAAATAATTAACTTGCTTTCTTTTTTATCTAGTCCATTTATAGATGTGTACCAAAGTCCTACTGTTACCACCTGCAGGGATTGATGCAGTTTGTACTGATCCTACCCCATTTCATAGAAGGGGACCAGGCAGTCCTGCAGATTTCCCTGGCTTGGCTTTTTCAGAGCCCTGCTCTACTACCCATCCAATAGATGGACTAGAATTGCATAGGTGTAGGGACCCTTAACAATGTGCAAACATTGTTAATAACTACAGGGCTTGTTGACTGAAAGAGTGGATACATCTAGAGGTTTAGTGCCTGGAACATGATGTACATAGGCTTCTTGTGAAGTCTATGTACATCATGTTGAGGGCACTAAACCAAAAGATGTGTTCCACTGTTTCAGCCAACAAGTCCTGCCTCAAAATGGAAGTAAGGGGTAGGCCTTGCTGAGCCAATCTTAAAAGATTGGGACTTAGGGGTTTTTGTAGTAATTTGTATGTGTTAGTGTTAATAAAATGAGTGTCCCTGTTTGATATACTTTATTTTTCTTTTACAGGTGGTTGTTGTCCTTGGTACTCTGGATGTTTTCCTGGCCTTTGAAGTCTTCAGTTGAAACCTCAACCTGAAACATACAATTGTCAACATTAGTTATATTGTATACTATTTAATAAATCTTTTAATGAAAATACTTTATATACTTTATCCTGAAAGTAGCTATAATTTAATCATGCTGGAAATTTCTATTACAAATTCTTGCTAACAATATCTAAAAAAACTTTCTATAAGAGTTTATATAAAGCTATAATAAACATTATAAAGGTATACAAAATATATAAAGGCAATATAAACTTAAGTTTATTAATTATAAAGCTATATGTTTATATATAACCAAGTTAAAGTTTATATTATAGCTTGGTTATATATAAACTTATATTATAGCTTTATATAATTAACTAATAAACTTAAGTTTATCAGTCTTAAAGGTAAAATATATAAGTAACATAAGTTATATATATAAAGAGGTAATATACCTTTTAAGCAACATTATATTTTAAGTGAAAACTAATTTTGACAACTTAAAAGCTTTGCATACCAAACTAGACTTTCATTTTTATAGTTCACGTTAAACTGCAAAAGATAATTTAATCTTAATAATGCCAAAAATTTAACTTAAAACAAATAAAGTTAAAGCTATGGAACATTGATGTAAATTTTTACGTCATTTCCACTAATCAATGATAAGATTACACTAAATTAGCTAAAAAAAATTTCCCACAAGTGTCTTACTAAATGCCACAACTTGATAGGAAACACTTTCATGTGTTTCCTATCAACAATACCAAACCCTTCAATTTTCTACTAGTCTAAGAAGAAAAGAAAAACCATTAGACATGTCCAATCTGTTAATATTTGCTGCACTGAAGTGTCCTACCAAATATTAGTAATGAACACTAAATTATTCACACCACACATCCCATTACCACAAATGTTTCAAACTGCTGAAGATAACTATTTCAAGATAGTTTATATATACACTATCTGCCTATAACAAACACCATAAATGGGAAGAGCCTTACAAACTTTCAAAAAACTTCAAATACCTGGAATTCAATCCAAGCTATTAAATGGATTGACAGCCAAACTTACTGCCACTTAAACTCGCTAGATAGATTTCAAATGTTACTCAAATTTTTGAAACTGCCAAGCAGAAAACTTTCAAATTACTTTGACCTCACATCTGCAAGGTCCAGAAGGGAAGAAACATTAATATTTTTGTCAAATCAACAAAACATTGGTTTGTTAAAAACAAACCTGTTCACATTTTTTTTCTGATAACCAGCTATTCAAACACACACTGTGTTTGATAAAGCACCATATGAAAGGCTAGGAGAGAAATATGAAGCACATGGAATAAAGGATAAAAAGATTGCTTAATTAAAGCTTCCTCTGAAACAGATTTGACTGGAAAATACGGCATGAAGCGTACCACAAGGGTCTAAACCTTATATACCTCAATGACAAATCAAATTATTACAAACCACATCAATTTTGCAGATGACACCAAGATTTATGGTACAGAGAACATGAAAAAATGATATCGAGCCCTTACAAAGATCTACGGGAACTCTAAAAATGGTTACAAGACTGGCAAATTCTTATTATTATATACACTATTTAACATTGCAAAACCTTACAGGTGACCCAGAACAATCCATATCACAACTACCACATTAAAATGAAGAAGAACAATGAAATAAAGGACCTTTGAGCTAGATTCCATCATTAACCAAAAGTTGCTCCAGTACACAAAAATTACTAACAAAACCCTACAATTAATCAAGCGACCTTTTGACTTTAACGAAAAGAAGGTAGTTATTCTAATGTCAAAACATTTATACACCAGATATCTATAATCACTTAGATAATTGTACCCAACCATGAAGAACCCCCACCTTCTTTACAAAAACACATCTACTTTCAAACAACAACACTGCCCAACACAAATATTTCTAAAACTAAGTCGACTAATACTAGGAACAACTGAAGGCCACGACAAACACTGCAACTCTCTCCTACCCCCAAGTCTTATGCTATTAATGATCCATTTTATTTTGACATACTTCCTACAGACGAGACCAGAGACAGGACGATCTAGTGAGTAAACTGAAGCACGATACAGGTGTCAACGGACATCAGTCAGCCCACTTGTCACCGCAGTGGATAAACTAATAACATTATAACCTGCAATTTTGTATGACTCCCTGTGGCCATTTAAATCAATAAAACCCAGGGTTGTGGCAATGTTTATAGCATAAGGTAAGGTATACAAGAATGCCTGGTAATGTCTAGTCCTTGTATGTGCTTTAGGCAACCAAACTGAACAACAACATTGCTCGTGTTATACTATTTTATCCGAGTTTCTCATTCGGTACAACCTTTTAAACCCAAATAGGAATGCGCTTTAAAGATCCATTTATTTGGAGATTCTACTTACACAATCTAAATTACCGGTCTCTGAAAGTACTACGAGATAAGTTTAACTAGATGAGTGTTTGCCTATCCACACTCACATGAGGTATGTGACAACACTGAATAAAGAAAGGGCCTTTGAGCATTCACCATGCAACAATTAGACATGACATAACCAATATAGCCAGGTCATACTGTACCTCCCCCTCCTACCTACCCCCTAACTCCTTCCCCCAATCCTATCACTCCTGCCCTCCCTTCTACCCCCCTCCCTTCTACCCCCCTCACTCCTACCCTCCCTCCTGCCCCCTCAATATGCCCCTCCTACCCCCATCACTTAAGTTATTTATCTGCTCTTATTCTTGTGTTTTGCTTTATCGTCTATCTTGTATCGTGATCCCTCTGCATCTCTATGCACACTGATATTGATCCTGATCAAAATCTTCTGTCTCATATCTACACCAACCAGCACATTGATCATCATTATTGCAAGTATTTCACAGCACACCAGGCTAAAAACAAACTTCAAAATAGCACCTGTCTATCAGTTTATAACCAAAATGTTAGATCACTTGGTAAACATTTTGACGATTTAAATGCATTACTCACAGCACTAGGTACTAACCTATCGTTCATTATTTTAACAGAAACTTGGCTAAATAAAGACTATACCCAACTCTACAACTTAGCTGGTTATAAAGCCATTCATAACTGTAGGCTTAATAAAAAAGGTGGTGGCACAGCTATATATTACCGAGATACATTTATCTGCAACAGTGTTATTAGTGACAGAGACGACTACTGTGAATATACTTTTGCTCAGTTTACAATTAAATCCCTTATATCCTCTTTGACTATTGGAGCCATCTATAGATTTCCCAATACTAACATAGCTTCTTTCTCAGACAACCTAAGGAATCTTATTATAAACAACAATCTCAACAAAAACCACATCATTCTGGGAGGAGACTTTAATATTGACCTGGGTCAACAAAATTGCTCTCAAGTTGACTATTTCCTTAACAGCATGAACTCCTGTATGCTAATCCCCACAATCACCAAACCTACCCGAGTCACTCAAACATCAGCCACTACCTTGGACCACATATGGACAAACATAACAGCTCCCCTTGTATCTGGTATAATCTACGACAGAACAACTGACCACTATCCTACCTTTCTCATAGCGAACATGGACATAACACCACCAAAAAGCAAGAAACTTTCATTTAGGCTACACAGTGAATCAGCTTTAGACAATCTTACAGAGGCACTTCACAATATTAACTGGGATTCTGAATTCAATAATACCCATGAAGGGGAGTGGTGGGTGGTGAAGGGGAACAGGAACCACAGGATGGGTAAAGGTCAAGGCATGACATAAGCAAGAGTGAGGGTGCTGTAAGGACCGTGCAAGGTAGAGAAGACAGTAGCGATCATGGCGATCCTGTAGAAACAGGACGCCAGTTTCAACATACAGGCTTAGAGTAGGTGTCGAAGGAAAGGTACCAGAGCTGAGCCGTAACCCAGTATGATGCAGTGTGTCCGGATGGTGAAGGATAGAAGGAGAAGCAGACGAGTAAACGGGGCCATAATCGAGTTTAGACAGAACGAGAGAGGAATGTAAAGAGAGGAGCAGTGTCGATTAGCTCCCCAAGAAGTATGGGACATGACCTAAAGTTAGTTAAGGGCCTTAGAGCATTCAACTCGGACATAAAAAATATGGGGCGACAAAGACAAACGAGTGTCAAAGATTAGCCCTAAAAGCTTTAGCAGATTCTTTGTACAAAAGGGGATGACCCCTGTTACCTAACAGTAAATAGGTATCTGGGAGTTAGCTGTTACAGGCTTCTTCCTAGGGGGGTGCGTGTGGGAGAAAAAAAAATTTAGTAGTTAACCACTGAACTGTTGACCCCTGTTACCTAACAGTAAATAGGTATCTGGGAGTTAGCTGTTACAGGCTGCTTCCTAGGGGGGTGCATGTGTGGGAGAAAAAAAAATTTAGTAGTTAACCACTGAACTGCTCTGTCTCCAAATAACACCCTGGTGCACAAGAAATAAATTCTTATCAAAAAATTTTTTTCCCTTCTTATATTGTTAAAATGCAGAGTCTGATCACGGGGAAACTAAACAAAAAATATTGTATGTGACTTACTCTAGCTGCGATGGAGCTGGGAAGTTGAGCAAATTATGGGCGCTGAGCGTTGGAGCGATGGGGGTCTGTCGGCCCCGCCACCCCGTGCGACGGCAGTTGCTGCGAATAAAATGTTGCGCAATTATTTTGAAGTTTCTCATTCATTTCTTCTTTTTTTTTGCTGTAATATTATTTAAAAGTGTGTAATTTGTGGAATTTATATAATTCAAAGTATAGAACATCGCTATGCTCAAAATTATGGGCCTCATATATGCGACATATTCTACAATCAAACAGTGTTTTTGCTGTTATTACACTATATACACACATGGTATATACCCATCTACGTATGTATTCACCATAACGATCCACTATGTTGGTATGGTGAGCCCAAAAAACATGAGTGAGCTGCCACACCCTGCCAGTCCTCCCTCCCTCCTCCAACACATTACTCGCCAACATTCCTCCTCCCAAAATACTGTTATTGTGTTTATTGCACTATTTACACACGTTATGTATAAGCATGTACATGTTTTATTCATGTACATACGTACATACTTGCCATCTCCTCACCTCTCTCTC